ACACTATACACATTCGAAAAGAGGATTAGACATTGTAATTCATTCTGGAATAGTGACTTTGACCCTAACATTTTCATTTTGTCATAAGGGAAAACAATCTCATATCAGGCTGATAGTGGAGGAATCAGCAATTTTCCAGGGTGGTCACCTACTTCCCTTCCACAGAGTAGGCAAAGGAAAGTTTAATATGGAATTAATTTTCTCAAGTTATTTTGTTAATAATCTTTCTGTTAAGCATAAAGCAACGTTGGCACTGAATGATCCTCATTATTGACATACACAGCCCTGTGTCATCAAATAATTACATGTTACTTGCCTTTTTGCCCATGCTAACCTAAAAAGCCTGATGACTAAATTGTTTATTGTTTGATAAACAATATGATTCAGTAATAACAGGCAACAGCTTAGACAAAGCTCAAAAAAATTTTAGATCCTCTTGTTCTCTTAGTGTTCAACTGTGGCAAACTACCAAGTTTGTGAGTCCCAGATTACTCTTCTATAAAAGGAAAATTAAAAACTGTATTATTAGGAATCAGATGGAAGAATCGACATAAAAAGGCTTTGCGAAATAAAAAATTCTGCATTGATAAGTCACCAGTCATCCTCTTTCTATATCCAAAGTAAGTTAAATTTGTACCAATATATCCACTTCTCAACCAGTCCTTCCTCTTGAGAACAATTTAGATTATTAATTGGTAAAATAGATATCCTGAGTCAGGGGTATGACAAACATAAAGCTACTATACTGAAAAAGAAATGGATCTGTAATAGCTTTGGCTAGTGAGACCATACAAGGAAGCAAGTGGTCTGACTGCCCTCACATTTACAGGTACACTTTATTTTATTACCCTTCACTTTATCATGGTCAGAGATACTGCTTTTACAAACTGATCTGTGGCAATCCTGCATGGAACAAGTTTATTGGTGCTATTTTTCCAAAAGAATATATTTGCTTTGTGTCTCTGCGTCACGTTTTAGTCATTCTCACAGTATTTAAGACTTTTTTTATTATGATGAGTATATCTGTTATAGTGGCCTGTGATCAGTGATCTGGTGAGCTACTATTGTTAATTTCTTTAGGGTCCATGCACTGAGCTTATATATGATGGTGAACTTAATCAGTAAGTGTCTGTGTTATTAGATTACTCTACCAATTGTGTTTCCCCTCTTCTTGGACTTTGCTGTTCCCTGAGACACTATAATAATGAAACTGGCCCAACTACTAATTCTGCAGTAGTCTCTATGTGTTCAAGTAAAAGTGTCACATGTATCGCTTTTAAATCAAAAGTTGAAAATAGCTGAGCTTATTGCAAGGCAGGTCAAAAGCTGAGATAAGCTGAAAAGGAAGCCTGTTGCATCAAATAATCAAAATATCAATGCAAAGGCAAAGTCCTTAAAGGCAATTAAGAATATACCACTTCAGTGAACACAATAATGATAAGTGAAACAGATGTATTGCTGCTATGAAGAAAGTTTTAGTGACCTAGGTAGCCACTGCATTCCCTTAAACCACAGCCTCATCCAGAGCAAGGCCCTAATACTCTTCGATTCTGTCAACACTGAGAGGTAAAGAAGCTGCAGAACAAAAGTTTAAGGCTAGTAGATGTTGGTTTGTGAGATTTAAAGAAAAAAGCCATCTCTGTGACATAAAAATGCAAGATGAGGCAGGAGTGCAGATTTGCAGGCTGCAACAAGTTATCCAGGGGGCCTATCTAAGGAAGTTGCTGACAGTGCCTACACTAAGCAGATTTTCTATGTAGACCAGTCTCCTACTGGAAGAAGATGCCATCTAGGGTACTCAGAGAGAGTAGAAGTCAATGTGTAGCTTCAAAGCTTCAAAGGATAGGCTGACTTCTTGTTAGAGTCTAATGCAGTTAGTGATTCTAAACTGAAGCTAAATGCACATTTATTGCTTCAAAAATCCTAGATCCCTTAAGATTTATAAATCTACCTGTTCTCTATAAATGGAACAACAAAGCCTGGATGATAGGCCATCTTTTTACAATATAGTTTACTGAACATTTTAAATTAACTGTTGAGACCTGCTGCCTGTGAGGGAAAATGTTTTCTTTCAAAATATTATGGGTCCTTGATAAAGCACTTGGTCACTCAAGAGCTCTGATGGCAATATATACTGAGATGAATGTTATTTTCATATTTGTTATCACAAGATCCAGTCTTCAGCTGTTTTGATGTTCAAGTCTTATTATTTAAGGAATACATTTTAAATGGCTTTATCTGCCTTAGATAACGATTTCTCTAATGGGTCTGTGCAAAGCAAATTGAAAGCTCTCTGCAAAGGATTCACCATTCTAGATGCCATTAAGAGCATTCATGATTCAAAGGAGAAGTCATACTATGAACATTAATAAGAGTTTGGAAGATGGTATTTCCAATCATTACATATGACTTTAAGGAGTACAAGACATTAGTGGAGGAAGTGTCTACCGGTGATGGAAATACATAGAAAACTAAAATTTAAGGTGATGCCTGAAGATGTGACTAAATTGCTGCAATCTCATGTGAAACCTATGGATAAGGAGTTGCTTCTTTTGAATGTGCAAAGAAAATAACTTCTTGAGATGGAAGGTACTCCCAGGAAAGATACTGTGAACACTGTTGAAATGCCAACAAAGGATTTAGAATACTACAAAAACTTAATTGATACAGCAATGGCAGGGTTTGAGAGCACTGACATAAATTTTGAAATATCCTATACTCTGAGTAAAATGCTGCCAAAGAGCACTGAACGCTACAGAGGAATCTCATGAAATAAACAGCCAGTGAATGTAGCAAATTTCATTGTTGTCTTATTTTAAGAAATTGCCCAAGTAGGAAGGGTATGGGAAAGGGAGTAAGGGAAAAGAAAAAAATATGAGAAAATGAAAAAATGGAAATAAAGTGTTTGTAAATGGGGAGGGGAGGAGGGGGTGAAGGGAAGGCAGGGACAAGGGAAAAAAATCAGAACCAAGACCTATCATGTAAAGGTGCAAAATCCCAGTAATGAATGTAACTGTACTGTATACCTAAAATGTACCAATAAACTCAATAAAAAGAAATTGCCAATATTCAACAACCACCATTCTGATCAGTCAGGAACCATCAACATCAAGGCAAGCTGCCACCAAGAAAAACATTATGAGGCAGATAGTTATTAACAATAAAATATTAAATTAAGGTATTTACATTATCTTCTAGACATAATGCTATTCCCCACTTAATAGGTCACAGTATAGTATAGACAGATGTAGTATATACACTTGGGAGCCAAAAATATTATTATTCTCTTTATTGTAGGGGTCTAGAACTGAACTCATAATAGACATGAGATATGCCTGTATAATTTTAAGAAGCAACTGAAAAGTATGAACACTGAAGGGCTCACTAGTAAAATCTGCTTATGTCCAAAGAGTTGATTCTCATTTGTGTAATGTCATTAGATCACGAGCATCTAACAGTGCATGAACTCAATGTTGTCAGGGTGAACAGATGTCTCACAGCTAGAGACTGCCACAGAGCCAAAGTACAAAGTGAACCTTTTTCTGAAATAAGTTCAGGTGATTCTAATACTAGAAAAATTCACTTGAAGAGAAAATTTTCAAAGAATATACAAGGCACTTGGCAAAAACAGGATTGAATATACCACTGGAAAATTCAAAAGGGAGGATTTTGATTAATTGTAACCAATGAATAATAGTGTATGGAATTCAAACTCTGTAGTCGAGATTATATCCCACACAACTTACAACAGGATCTGTAGTTTAATATCATTTGTAGAATAACCATAATAATATGTATAATTACCCCAAAGTGAACAAAGAGGAAATGTTGCTATGATTATGATCAAATAGTTATGCTTAGCACTGACTGGATTCAGCCAAATTAAAACTCAATTTTCTGGGGCCAAGGAATTAGTTCAGTGCTTCTGCTGCCTGCCTCTTAAACTCAAGGACCCAAGTTTGATCCCCGGTACCAATAAATAAATAAATACTCAATTTTCTACTCCAAAAGTGAAAATGACATAATACTATCAAAGATACCCTTTTACAGCACAGTATGCTTGCAAGTAGTGAGTGTCAAATTACACTTGCAGAAGTTCTGGCATGCCTTGCTTGATTTTGGTAAAATGGTTGGTTCTTCTGTGAAAAAGGATTCTGCTTGTACACTGTTCCAGCTGAGCACATTTTCCAACTTGCTTCATGAAATCTTGGCTAAGCCGACTGATTTCCATGTAAAATGACAGGGTATAGTTTATGTGAATAGTTTCTTGCAAGCTATTTCAGAGATCTTCTAAGGTCTATACTTGGTAGTGTGTGGACTACTTGGACTGTCCCAACTATAATGGATGTTCTCGTAGGCAAGAAACTTCCGTGCTTCTGCGGTCCTACACACCCAGACGCCCCTCGACAGAATAAACTAAGTCCTTATTAAGTATCCACTAATTACTATGTCCTATGCTTCCTGGGGGTTATTTTACAGACTTTTGGCCCTGAGGCCTCTAAGAGATACTGCAAAGTTAACTAAGTGCAAACTTACCTCTATGAGATAGAGGCAGAGGAGGGGGTAAAAATAAACTAAAATATTGGAAAGCCAGCTTCAGTACAATGTAGTTTTTCCTCTCATCTTAAAATATTTACTTAACTTCCCTTGAAAGTTTTCAACTTGTTGAGGGAAATAGGCTTCATTCGTACCTCACTAATAGTTGGTTCCTGAGAGCAACCGAACAGATATATTTGGAAAACTGTTTTCTGCCTTATTATTAAAGCTACAAACCTTTTAAAGCCATCTCTCGCTTCAGAGGGTGCTCCGCCTCTCTGGCGCGGAGGTTCCTCCCATATCTGACTATTGCCCGCCTCCTTCGGCATTCCAACCAATCCCGTATTCGGTAAAGTCGTGGGACTAAAGTTATCGCGAGACTTTCACGGTATCCTTCGAGAATTTTAACTGGGTGAACATGCGCAGAAGAGACTCCTGAAGCCACGGCAGGGGGAAGGGGGCGGGGCTCCCCGACGTGCACGTTCACTTTGACCTCACGTTTCAGCGCGCACCCGGTGTCTGAGCGCTGTGGTTTCTGGACCCCCCAGGAAGCCCGACAAAACGCAGCCTCCAGCGTGGAGCGCTCGTGCCCACTCAAGGCGGATGTTAAGTGGGTGGCGAATGCTGCCCGACTTCTGCAGAGATTTAGAGGGGCCCAGCCTGGCGCAGAGCGTCTCGAGAGGTTTGGAGAACCAGCCTAGGTGGGTATTTGGGTGATGGAGGGTCAGGGGTCAGAGGTCGGGAGGGAAGCTAATCTCTGGGCTCCCCTTGCTACCGGGAGAGGACTGGAATTGTCTTGAGCCCGGGGAGCTCCAGGGCTGAGAGAAAGCAGCAGCGCCGATCTCCTCGACCCCGACACCATCCCAGATTTGCGGCCTCTGGACCGCCGCGGCTGCCGGGGAGCAGGTGGGGACCCTGGAAAAGGAGGCTGTGCTTCTCCGGAGGATTGGGGCCTGCAGTGTTCTTCAGGGACCCGAGGGACTGTCGCCGGGGTCCTTGGCTTCTCCGAAGTCTGTTTGGCCTGCGCTGACAGCCCCGCTCTGATTCTCGGAGCCTCTTTTGGGTCTTTTCGGAAGAGAACTATATGGGTAGTATCCTCTGGCATAGAGTATGCCCTGGGAAGTTGGAACCGGGTAGCCGCCTAGCTTCCTAGAGCGCAGGGTTGTATGGAGCTCAAAGTGGAGGCAGAGACGGAAGTCCGCCTGAAAGTTCTCAGCTTTACGGTCTGATTAATTATGCTCGCAATCAGAACCACCGCTCGCGCGTTGTGCATTTGACTCAGGGGTAGTGCTAGGTTTACCAACGAAGGTGTGAGTTCATCTGATGATTGACGGTCTCTATAGAGAATTATTAAATAATGGCCATTAAACTTGTGCGTTTTTCTAGTCGGCTTTACGCTCACGAAGTAGACACTCCTAGATATTTGATGTTTCCCTGCTTGTACTTTCACATAATTTAATATCATAGCTTAAAAGTTATTACTGCTGTTTTCAGTTTCCCCCGTGGGCGATAGCAGGAGTGATGAAATGATCATCGTTCTTTGAACATGATCCCTAATGTTTCTACTGTCACGGAAAAGACTGCTTAGTTTATGATCAGTAACCGTGCTGCAATCTGAGCAGTGGTGGTGAGCAGTATTGGGATAATTCTAGGCTGGTTAACCTGTGTTTCCTACAGCTTTGAAGACAAACTAAATAAGCAGTTAAGAATGTGATAGGTAATTTCTGAAGTATGCTATTTATGTCTTCTTTGCCTAGCCTAAAAGAAATGAAGATACGGACGTATCAAAACAAATCTTTTATTAAGAGTTGTGGGATACAGAATCTGATGAAACACTTTCTTGTGAGGGTATTTTTCAAATTTATATAACTAACATATATTTTAGAATTAAATAGAAGAAAAGAAAACACTTATTTTGCTGGAGTTATCACGAGAGCAAAGGAAATCCACTCTGGGAGGCTGAGACAGGATGATACAAAGTGCAGTCTGAGCAACCTAATAATTTAACAAGTACCTGTATCAAAATTAAAAATAGGAAAAAGTGCTGGGGTTGTAGATCATTATGAAGGCATGGGTTCAGTCCCCAATAGGGTAGGGAAAAGGGTGTAAAAAAAAAAACTTGGTAATGCTAGGTGATTAAGAGCTTTTCAGTCCTCTGAAATGATTAGACTTTGCTTACATCAGCCAACACTTTGGACAGCAACGTGGCAAATGTATATCCTCCTTATTGTCCGTGATACCCTGAGCCCTAGTTTGTAATTCATTTGTTGGGATTCAGGACTTTGCATATCTTTTAATGAAGATGTTGTAAGTTTGGAGAGGAAACTGAATTTAAGTTTGACACTCATTTGTTGAACTCCTTCAGTAACATGTTATGTTTACTTTTCAACTATGTTTGTCTACTGTTAAAGATGAAATTTGGTCAGGTTTGTTTTTTGTTTTCTTGTTTTTTGCCGCATTCTGGGCCAGAAATCGAAACAAATAGTTTCTTATATGTGGCAGTGACGAACCTTTTAGAACTTTCAGTGACAAACAGCCTGCTGCGGCACACATGCCATAGGTTCTCCACCACTGATCCATAGTCTTGTAGAAAGTGGATAAGAGACTCCTACAGAAAGAAATTTTAGTAAAATACTGTTAGCGCCTTAAAATAAGGGAAGCTATTCGGGAGTTGAGATCATTGTTTGACCTTATTTTGTATGTCATTTGTATCCTGGCACTGACCACTGGCTTTGAGGGTACAATACTGAATAGGATATAATGTAAAAGTTGGGGTTACAGAGGCCTTTAACTCAGCTTCCCTGTTCAGGTTAGGGTTTCCATAAAAGATCGGGAACACAACTGGCACAAAAGTGGAAAAGGCATTTACAGCAGAAAACTTTGCTTTTAAGTTAGGGACCATATAGAAAATTTAACATAATCACATTTGTCTCAAACACTATTTAAGGAGGAGAAAAAAGCAGAACCACCAAAAGTGTGATTTGTAAGGTATGAAGACAAATGGAGAAGGATATGGGGTACAGATACAGATGAAGAGAATTTGACCATTGTAACTGCCGGTTACCATTTTGATCATGTCTTTAGTCAACTAGTATCTTCTTTGGTTTAAGAAGTTATCCCTAGATAGAGATCCCTTAAGGAAAGAGTCAGCCAGATTTTTAAAAAATTGCTCAATTGAGAATTGCACAAAGGAAGAACTTTGCTATAAATCCTAGTATTTACATTTCTCCAACTTATCGTCATCATTGATTATCACCTTGAAATTCATACCAGAAAAGTCTGCTTGAAAGCAAACATTTGAATGAACGAGCAAATTATAGTGGCATACATAATTTGAAAGACACCAGAGAACAAAATCGTTAAAGGAATGTCATGTGATAATAACATCTCTGTTACAATTTCATTACAAGAAATATTGCACGTATTACTTCTGCGCTATTTCCCAAGAAAGAGTCTTGGCACTGTGCTAAGCTGGTCTGCCATTTCCAAACTAATCTATGCTTTGGAAAGAAAAAAAGGGATTTTAGTTTCTTTTGGCTGAACATTGGAATATTTTAGGAAGTCTAAAAAATAATGAGAATAGTGCTCATGAACCCCCAGACACTCTAATTTAACTGTTGAGGGTGCCACTTGGGCATCAGGATTTTTTCAAATTCACTTCTAAAGATTTGTTAGGTTTAAGAAGTGCTGATCTTTGGTCCTTGGTCCTGTCACATTAGTGTTTGACTATTATAAAGTATAATTTAGAGTATTTTCAGAATGATAGTAACCATTACTTAATGGATACATACTTCTGGTACTGGCCTGTCATATGTCAGCTATTTCTAACCACTCTGCTGTTGTCTTCCCCATTTTAGAAATGAAAAGACTGGCACAGATAAATTAGATACTAAAACTATTTTACTGTCGTTGTTAATTAATTGCTTTTTTGGGGGGGTATCAGGGATTGAACTCAGGTCCTTGTGCTTGCAAGGCAGGCAGGAGAACCACTGAGCTAAATCCCTGGCCCTTACTGTCATTATTAATAAATGCAAAAGCTGAAATTAGATCATAAGACTTTAAAACCCATACTCTCTGTTACAAGCCTCGCTACTTTGCAGATGTGAGACTATAGCCGGTTCTTTTTGAGCTTTCAGGGTTATGGCCTGTGTGATTTTGCAGCTGGCCCAGTTCCCTTCACACACATGTACAACCTCCAGCCCACATCCACGCACTTGGCCATGTGTGGTTCTACCCAGGAAAGAAGTGTGTATTTCCTTACTCCTTCATTTTGGGTCCATCGATGGGACTTGTTGGCAAACCCTATTTCCTGGTAGAACCTGAATGATTTTGATAGAACAAGCACTTTACGTAGTACTTAAGTGATTGGATATGCACTTTTATACCACAGCCACTGCCATAAGAATGTTCTGAGGTGTTTCTTTGGTTCCAGGAGGATAAGAGCTACAGTAAGCAGGAACAACCTGCTCCTCTAGAAACAGCCTCTCAGCTGCCCTTCAGTAACCTGCAGATTTGTGAGAAGACAAAAAAATGTTTGCTTTCTCAAAGCATCAAGCTTTGTGGTAGTGTGTTGTTAATCGGCATGTTTGTGGCATTAAGTAATTGGTAAGCTGGTATAACCTAACTTCTTAAAAGTTCCAACAGAGTGACCCAAATCCAGGATTCTAATGTGTTCTCTGAGGATAACCGAACAGATATTTATTAACACTTAGAAAAGTTGGGACTTTCAATATGTTACTTCTCTTGACATAGAAATTGGAGAGGATAAAATGTGTACAAAGTAGTTAACCATTGCAGAGACTGACTGTAATCCTTCACCTACAAATTTTATAAAATGAGCACTGCCTAGGAGACTAGAACGCTCATGAGTGACTGGACCATCATAGACTTGCAGTTATGGGGTGAGTGTTTTATAAAGGACGCTAGTCACCGATGCCTACTGAACCCTTGAGGTGGAGTTGATGAGACCAAGGAGCTGAATTTCTAGTAATATTTAATTTTATTATGTAGCTTCTGGCTGCCTTTGGACTTGCTTTGGCCCATAGTAGACAAAACTACTTCCTTGGGTTGCTCAGCATGCTGTGTTTCTTTGAGGCGCAGGGCCATCATCTGCTATGTTCCTCAGTAAAAGACATGTTCTATCAGCAAGGAAGGGTAAATCTTAGGAAGGTAAGGAATATTATTTCAGTTTCTTTTGTGGTATTGGTCTATTAAGATTTCCTATTTCTTGGACGAATTTTTTTCATGCATAGTGTGTTAGGAAATTGTTTCACATAGTTTTTTTAAATTTATTAAAATAAAACTTCTTAATATTCTCTTGTGCTTATTAAATCCATTCTGCATCTACTGTTTTTGCTTTTTAAATCAACTGCACTAAGGCATAATTTACATATAGTGAAATTCAGTGTTAAGTGTACAATCCCTGAGTTCTGACAAGCATCTCATAAACAGCTGTGTAAGCACCCAACAGAATATTTTTGTCTCCACAAAAATCTTTACTCCTGCTCCTGTGCTGTCAGTCAACTCTGTCCATAATATGCTTTCCACCGCTTAGGTTTTTGCTTTTTCTAGATTTTCATGTTAATGGCATTAAATGGGAATTCAAAATTCACCCTGTGATACTTTGTGCATCAGTAGTTTTGTTTCTTTTTATTGTAAGTGTTCCCATTTTATGAATGTGGTACAGTTGTCTCTTCACCACTTGATAAACAGTTGCTCCTAGTTTTCAGCTCATTTAATTTTTTGGAAACTTACAAACTTCCAAAGCAACTGGGCTATGTTGGAATGTTTGAGAGTTCAGTTCTGGTTGCTACACACCCACAATCTTTTAAATTCTAATTAGTACATAAATTGAGGTATCTTGTGATTTTTGGATTGGCTTCATGTTGTCTTACTCATGATGCTGAAGATACTTTTATGTGCTTATTTGCCATGTTTGCAGTGTGTAAATCATTTTTGGTAAAGTGTTCAAAATTTTTGCCCATTTTTAAAATAAGATCATCTTACTGTTGATTCATGTATTTTTTACAAAAATCTACAGAAATATTTGTTGCTAATATTTCTTCTCATCTGTAGCTTGCCTTCTTATTTCCATCATAGTGCCATATGAGAAGCCAAATTATTTATTTGTAGTGAAATTAAATTTATTATTTTCTTACATAGTCTGTTTTTGTGTCCTGTTTAAAATTTTTTCTTTTTTTTTTTAAATATCACTTACATTTTTATTTTTTTCTGGAAGTTTTATATGTTTAGCATTATATTTTAGTTTATAACTTATTTTGATTTTATTCTTACATATTCTAAGATAAAGGCCAAGGTTCTTTTTATTTATTTATTTATTTTAACCGGGGATCGAAATCAGGACCTTGCACTTGCAAGGCAGCTGTAATGCTATTGAGCTAAATCCCCAGCTGACCTTCCTTTTAAATTAGTTGACTTTACATGTGTGGCTTCATTATCGCTTTATTTTGTTCCAATGATCTGTGCGTCTGTGTTTACACCGTTTCACAGTGTTCTGAGTACTGATCATGTAAATCTTGAAATCAGTGTAATTCATTCAACTTTATTCTTCTTTTGCAAAATTTTCTTTGACTCTTCTAGATCCCAGCCATTTCAGTATAAATTATAGAACCAAAGAAATGTTGACATTTTCAGTGTGATTACTTTGACTTCATGGATTGATACTGAAGAACTGGTATCTTTGATATTTTAAGTGAACACTATGAACATAATACAATACATAATATAGCTAAGTGATTATACTACTATACTCTTTCTTATTTTCATATTTGCTTGAAAGTTTTAGAATAAAATTCAAGATTATATTTAATAAAATTTTGTTTAAATTTAATAAAATTTTTAAAAGTCAATTTAAATACAAGAAAACTTTTATATTTACACACATTTTATTTATGCTTTTTATTTTTATTTTTAAGATGAAGATTTCCACCTACTCTAATACTCATTCTGAGAATTTCTTAAAATATTACTTGTAGTGTGGCCTGAAGCTGTAAATTCTTTTGGCTTTTGTCTTGCTTTTCATCTTCATATTGGTGAGATATTTTGCTGGGCTTAGCATTCTAGACAGAAATGTGTAGGCCAGAGAGATAAGACTAATCTGAAGAGAGATTGCTGCTTTTGAGTAATTGAATTATGGTGTAACTTGAGGCAGTTGTCCTTATGTTTGCCCTGATTGGGTTTACTGAGCTTCTTGGTTTTCCAGATTGATAGTTGTTATCAAATTTGGAAATTTTTCATGCATGATTTTTTCAAATATCGTTTCTTACCTTCTCCCCCTTTTCCTGCTAAGATTCCAATTTCATGCGTGTTAGACTGCTTAACATTTTCCAATATGTCTCTGATATTCTGTCTGTTGTTTTTTGCTGTTATGTTAGCCTGAGACTTTAAAAAAATTTTTTTTCTTGTCATGGTTCTTTCCTTTCCACTCCCCTCCTAATCCCCTATGTCTGATGATTTTAGTGTTTGTTGCCAAACCACTGGCCTCTTGAGTTCCTCCCTGCTCCTGCTGTTCCTAGAAACTCTCTCTTCGAAATAAGCTGTGAGAAAGACCACCAGCCATGGTTCACCTGGACTATGATGTTTCCCAGAATTCAAGACTTTCAGTGCTAAAATGAGGAAAATCCCAGGCAAAACAGGAAGAATTTGGTGAGCCCATACTAGAATTCCTTCACTTGTTTACTTCTCTCAGGGTCACTATAACAGTTGCTCTGTAGTTACACCTGTTCTGCTATTGAGTCAGTGGCCTACTCTTTTTTTTCTTTCACATTTCAGTAATATAGTTTGCTTTTCTAAAATTGCTCAACATTCTAAGCAGGAGTTATGAGTTCTTGCTTCTGTGTGGTGAAAACAGTATGTTATCTCCCTAAGGATGTGATGATTGTAACCATATGTATTTGGAGCAGATAGGAATGGGAGTTAATAGGGGTAGAGGCATGTAGTCAGACTTCTCTGCCTGCTCAGTTTATCAAGAAACCAAAACTTAGTTGCTTTTACCTGTTTTGTATTGCAGTCCATGATTTGATATATACTTATTCTGTATCCTCCCCTAAAATACAAAACAGTGCTGACTGCTTAGTGTAGATTCAGCAGATACCTGATTGGATTTTATTTAAAAATAGAGTTATTCAGATTATTTCCTAAAGCATTTGAAGCCAAATTTTAATTTTTACCCTTTGCCTTGCCAGCTACTAGGCTGGAATAGATACCAACCACCATGAAGACTTCCTTAATTCCTGTGAGTTCTATATTTCGTATAGGAATGGTGTAGTTAGGGCTACGTTCAGACTTGTTTCCTCTTTTGAGATGACTGAGCCCTCTTTTCTTTAAACCTTTTTCTTTTATTCTTTTATTCTTTCATTCCCCTGCTTTTCCCTCATTGCCATCAACTCTTTATTTCTTGCCCAGTTGTGTCTCTTATTCTTTTTATCTCCTCATCCATAAAAAGAAATACATATCTGTTATCCAAAAGAAGATTTTTGTTCTCCCCCTTGGAAAGAAAAAAGATTTTTAGGTGTTTATAAGCTATGTAAGAGTCAAGTGAAGTTTTTTTAAGTGCTTTGGGATTATAAAACAAAACTGAAATTCTTTAGCAACTATATGAGTTTAAATTTTACTAGCACATTCCTATAAGCATTTCCATGCTATATGAGAATTTTAAATTCTTATCATATTGCTTATCAAATGTATTTTTAGAATTTACTTTATACAACAGATCATCTTAGATTTATCCACTAGAAACCAATGAAATCATTCAAATTTGATACATGAGATTATGATTAATGTGTTCCTTAGGTGTGTCTAATTTAATACAAAAATTGCCCACTGCTGTTTATGAATTTCTCCAAAGATTTTGTATTGTGTGTATAGACTATGACTTTATGAATTTCTCATCTAGAACTTTTTACATACTAAAATCTTCACTTAGCATGCCTGCTATTTTATTTCTCTTTCAGAATTCACATCTGTCAAACAAGAAAAGGTGAAAATGAGCAGCCGCCGGAAACGGGCTCCTCCAGTGAAGGTAGATGAGGAAAAGCAGCAGCAACTCCGTTGGAACATGCACGAGGACCGGAGGAACGAGCCTCTGGCCTTGACTGATGACGAGCAGCCCTCCCCAGGTGCCGACTGCTCTCCTCAGTGCGTCCTCCTGGAGGATAGTCCTCAGGATGAAGTGGCTCACAGAGATAAGAAAAGGTGTTCTGAGGCCGTGAGCTTCTCAACAGCATCTAAGAAAGAAGAGACTGTTGGTGATTTTCTCTCTCTGTCTGTAAAGTTGAATATTGTGATTTTTCCCTATCACTTTGATAGTTCTTGGAAAGCATTTTTGGGAGAATTAACTCTTCAGCTTCTTCCCGAACAGAGTTTAGATGATAATTTTTCTGAGAGGAGTTTTACTTTGATGAGTTCAGAGTCAAGCAGTCAGTTCCTGATATATGTTCATTCTGAATGTGAAGATGTGGAGAAACAAGAAAAGGGACTCAAAGAATCAGTCAACCTTTGTGACAAGGGTATTCAAGTGGAATCATCTTTCAGTGGTGAAATGTTAGAAGACTTGGGATGGCTACAAAAGAAGAAAAGAATAAAACTTTACCAAAGACCAGAAGGAAGTCACATTATCAAGGTACTCTGTTTCTACACTCTTGCAGGGTTCTGCAGTATTGGCAGCTCACTTTGAAATTAACTTGGAAGATATGAAAAGCCACTGATTTGTTTTGGTCCTCATCATCTCTTTCTCTTACTGTAACAGTCATGTTCTGTTTCCTGTCTTGCCTTTTCTAGGCCTTTAACGACTAGATTTGTAGAACAGTAGCACATGAATACAGTTCTTTCCTGACTACAGAACTAAGAATAAGCTTTCTAATCCAGCACATAAGTCGCTCTCTTGGTAGATCCTTCAACCTCATCCTTTTTATTTTGTCCCGGAAACTCCAAATTGATGTTTCTCACAGTCACCCTGCTATCATTGTACATATTTGCATTTGCTCTCACAGTTCCCTCTGTGTGGATTATTGCCTGGAAACTCTTGTGCATTCTTTAGTGTTCCACTCAGAGTTTACTTTATGCATGGAGTTCTTTTCTTAAATCTTATGGGTAGTGTTAGGTGCCCTTTCTCCAGAACACCTATTAGCTAATGGATATTTTAATTTTTGCTTTTGCCGCTGGTAGTTCATTTTACATATTTCTCCCTTGCTAGACTATGAAGTCATTTATCTTCATAGCCCAGTAAATTGCCTGATATATAAATAGATTTTCAGTAAATGAATGGATAAATTTATAAATCACCTTAGGCTTTGCCATCTTCAGCCACTAGTCATATAATTTTATGCAGATTAAATGCTCTAATTTCTAGTTTCTTTTTTTCTGTATGGAAGATTAATAGTACCCATTCTTTTTTTCTTATAGAATTTGTTAAAAATCAGGTAAGGTATGTAAATAAATGTACTTCATAAAGCTTAATGTGCTTTCATGATAAAATTTTAAAGAAAAATATTTGAAATTGTCAATTTATCTTTCTTTAAATGAAAATTATTTCTTATACATTTCTCATATTAAAAATAATTGCATCCATAGTCTATATCTTGAGAATTGACTGAGGAAAGGAGAAAATTTAGAGCCATTAGAATGCCATTAATTCTTCCCTGGGCAGTGAGTCAATATGTTCAAGCAATTCCCTGCCTTTTCTGATTGTGAATGCCATAATTGTGGCACAGCTCTGGGGCTGTGTTCTATCACTTTCCCCCTGCAAGCCAAGTTTTGATCTGTTTCATTTTTTCTGATCTTGATTTTTATAAATATTTAAACTCTTATTGCTGCATAGTAAACTATCCCTGAGTGATACAAGGCAAGTACAAATAATGAAATACAATTTTGTCACTCATACCTATGTAATGCTGGTGGATTCTTGTTCTTTTCTGAAAGAATATGAGAATCTCAGTGATTAGGAAGTCAGGTCCAGAAAGTCTGAAGAAATGAAGAAAGCTAACATTTACCATCCACTATCAGAAACATTCAAAATTATTTTACTTAAGCTGTCTCATATAGGTTTCTTGGCATTTTGTGAATGAGGATATGTGGATTAAAATAAAAGTTATATGTCTGAGTTAACTCCTGAATATCAGTGCCAGTATTCTTTTAATTGCAAAACTATACTTTATAGTTTCACTAGAGTCAAGATAATTGAACATTAATCACGGTCTGTTTTCCTACAAAATTTTAGTGTTTCACCCAGTAATAAGGATTCCCAAACCTAACTGCACTACGATACTAGCATATGCATTGGAATCTTCCAGGGAAGTCTGCATTTTTGACAAACTTTATTAATCATTTCAGCCTCATCAAATTCAGAAATCAGTGATTTCACTCAGTAGAAAATGGTGTTCTTTCATTTCCTAACTAGAACTCGGTTTGGTTCCATTAGTAATGTATTTTTGTCCAGTAACTTGAATGGAGCATGACACTTTGTAGATACTTACATTTGCGGAATGAATTTATTATTGAAAGTGAAAATATATGGAGATACATACACAAGTATATATCTAGTGTTTGTGGGTACAAATACTATAAAATAGTGTCAATAAAAATGTTTTTCTAATATCCTCATTAAGAATGATATATTTCAAGTAAAATTACTTTTATGTTGACAATTCTTTGTAGGTTGGAATTTATATTCTGGAAGATGGCCTAGCAAAACTGGACTCTTTCAGTGATGCAAGTTCAAGAATGAAAAAGTTCAATCAACTCATGAAGAAGGTGATGGAAAAATTATATAATTTTATTATTCCAGGTAATTTTTAAAGCACACTTTAAAATTTCTGTTACTTTAGAGTTGTGGATTTTTCCTTCATGTACATATAACAAGAAAAAACATAATAAGGATGATAAAATTTAAATAACCTACATAAAATCACTGTATGAATGGCAAAGTTTTACAAATACAAGTGTCCTCATTGATATATTTCTTTACTGTATTTGCTTAACTGGGCTTTAGTGATAGGAAGCATCCAAGAAGGATTTGTAGTCAGTAAGGAAGTCAAAAGGCAGAGTCTGAACAGGGCTGAGCTGGTAGGATTTTGTTTTTTTGTTTTTTCTGTGCAGAATTTTGTCACAGCCCAATACCCTGGAGTGGTCCTTGTCCCATCTCTCCATTGCAGTCTGACAGATAATCTCAGCAACCTTACTCCTAGAAAACCAAGTGACCGTGTCTGTTTCTTGGCAAGAGGCTGCATCCTTGGTCAGGACTACAATTTCAAAGTTGCCTGCCATTGGCAGTCAAGGGATAGTGCAGGTGGCCTCTTGACAAGCAGCTCAAATTCTCTAAACCATACTTGGGGCATTAGTAGGTCGGCATTATTTCAGGTGCAAAATATAGGTCATTTTTATACTGCTGTATCTTTTAAATCAGTTTCTAAATTTAACTGCTTTATTCTGTAGCACTTTTTTTCAAAGCTACATATTCCTAATAGTAGTAAATTATTTCTCAAGTTAAAAAAAGATTTTAAAATTAAAAGGAATGCTTTCAAGTACATCCAGAGTTTCTAAAATCTGTAAGAATTCCATTATATTACCTTTTTAAAAAAAACATAATTTGAATTCTTAAAAACATGATTTCTAAGAAAACTTCAAAGTTAGATATTAATATTATATTACATAGCTTATAATGACATGAATAGTTGTATATTAATGATATATTATGAAGGAATACATATTAATTGTGAAGTTTTGAAAATCCTACATGCATTTTTTTTAAATGAAGAAAGGAATAAGGTGTGTGTTTTTTGTTTGATGTTAGTTTTAGAACATACTAGACATGTCCTATACAATTCTGAAAGCAATTCAGAAACTAAGGGTATACTTCTTTAACATGAAAGAATTATGTTTTTAATAAGAAATCAGCTCATTTGTTCAGGGTTTTCTTTTATTTTTCTTTTTTTTCATGTAAGCATGAAAAGGGCAATTGTGTCACCAAATGGATCTGATATTCTTACATGTTTACATTAATAGTTTAATCACCTGCAGCCAGGCAAGATGGCCCCTGCCTGTAATCCCAGTGCTGGGAAGGCTGAGGCAGGAGGAGTGCAGTGAGTTCAAGGCCAGCCTGAACCATATAACAAGACCCTGTCTCAAAAAATTAAAAAAGTTTAAGCATTGGATTCCTATTTAGTTTCTCTTGCTGCCAATACCTTGTTCTGCATTTAGAGTAAGAAATATAATGGGAATCCTTGTCTTAATAAGCATAAAAAGTTGTATCTGTATATGGACTTTTTACATTAAGATATAAACATAAAATAAGTTAGCACTTTATAAAGTACAAAAGATATTCCCATTCAGTTCCTCAGGTAGTTATTAAATACCAACAATGTCGCCATCTGTGAAGCTACACCAACAAAAGACTACCTGTGCTCTCAATGGGGAAGGGACAAGTCACGTGAATGACTAATACCAGATAGACTTCAGTGTACTGTCATGTCCAGATTAGCAAAGTATTTTGTAAACATGGAGGGAAAACTTAATTCAAGACAAGGAGGGCCAAAGAAAATAACAAAAGGAATCAACTGGAAGGAGTCATAAATTTGTTGAGGGTTTTCATTTGTATTTTTTCATGCAAGCATAAGTCCTCCAGAGGGCAGTTGTGTCCACTCTTTGAACTGTCTTAAAGATTGAATGGGGAGATTTTTTTGATCAGTGAAGATTTTGATACACAAAACATACTGAGCAAGACCTCTAGATTTGGGTGAAGGAAGCATAGAGTAAGAATTGCTTGTGATTATAAAAGATGGAACAGGTTATAAACACACTGTTGTTGGCTATACAGATGTATTGGGAAATGATGAGGACGACTCAGATAGTGAGCCGGAGGGACAGGACATTGATGAGCTCTATCACTTTGTGAAGCAAACACATCAGCAGGAAACACAGTCTGTCCCTGTGGACGTGCAGCATCCCGCACTGATGCCTGTGCTGAGACCCTACCAGAGAGAGGCCGTCAACTGGATGCTGCAGCAAGAGCGTTTCAGAAGTACCCCGACTGATGGCAAGTATAAGATGTTTAAAGAAAGGCACATTGGTGCCTTCCCCATGAGATTATACATGGGTAATGGGGTGAGGAGGAAATAACCATTTAAAAAAGCGTGTTAAAAAGATAGACTGGGCCAGGGATTTAGCTCAGTGGTGCCGCTGCCTGCCTCGCAAACACAAGGACCTGAGTTCTATCCCCAGTACCAAAAACAAAACAAAACAAAACAAAACAAAAAGGCTAGGATGGGTATTACTATGAACAAAAGTATTTTTCTTTTCTTTTTTTCAGTGCTGGGGACTGAATCCAGGGCCTTACACGTGCTAGGCAAGTGCTTTGCCACTGAGCTGTGCTATCAGCCCTGAATAAAAGTATTTTCTAAGAAATCCTTCAAAATTGAAATCTAGAAAAGTTAATTTATGACTTATTCATAAAAGTTTGGCCAAGACCTGGCATGTAAAGGTACAAGATCCCAGTAATGAATGTAACTGTACTGTCTACCTAGAATGTACCAATAAATTAAATTTTAAAAAAAAAAGTTTGGGCTGGCTTTTTCTTCCAGAATAAATGCAGCTTTTGAATTTTTGAAAACCATGATATTTGTTGATGTGACTTACAACTAAGAATTGTTCTCAGAATTCAAGCAAATGAGAATCTTTGTCTTTGGCAAGAAAATTCTTCACAATTTCATAATTAATTTAACAATAGCAAATTTATAAAAGGAAGAGACTTATTTCCTAGATTTGCATTTTTCATTCCTTCACAAAATAAATAGGAATGAAATGTCATCTATTAAGTAATTTTATGAAAGTTTTATATTTATGGGTCATTTACTTTTTTTTCACTCTTTTCTATTTTTTTGTTTTTGTGGGAGTTTTTTGTTTGTTTGTTTGGTTGGTTGGTTTTTTTTGAGATAGGGTCTCACTGTGTAGTTCAAGCTGGCCTTGAACTCACAAATATCCTCTTGCCTCAGCTTCCTGAGTGCTGGGATTATAGGTGTGCACCACCATACCTGGCAGTCATTTCATTATCATCATCTTTACAGGGTTAAACACAGGTGACATTTTTACATGATGCTAGAAAGTAAAGTGTTCTCATTCCTCTTGTATAGAATTATTTTGGTCACTAGCAAATAGCTATTTGAAAATAGTTTTGCAGTTTATATGTTTTTATCTAACAAATTTCATTTTTTTATTTAAACTCTTCATTTTGGACAATAAATACAGTCCTGGCCAATATTGTTTTCTTTTACTCTTCCTAGCCCCATACTCTGACTTTGAAGTAAATCCTATATACATTAATATTTCAGTTTATTTCATTGAAAGGTGAGTTTTTAAAATAAGTGTAAATATATACATATGTACATATATAATTAGATTTTTGAAGCCCAAACATTTTGTTGAATATCAACGAATACATCTCCTTACAACCTCCCTTTTTCAATTTCTCCCTCCCCCTCGTGTGTCTCCCCCCACACACACACATAGAGTTCTAATGTGAAACCAAAACACATCAGACATTAGAGTTGGTTGCTGTTGATTGTCTCATAGCCCTTAAGTTTTGTCTCCCATCTCTCACTCTATTTTTCCTCTTAGTTATTTGTTAAAGAAATTACTGATTCTATGAAATTTCTCATAGACCATATTATTTTTCTCTTAAAATATTTTTCTTCATTTAAATAATTTTATAAAAATATAACTTACAGTAAAAGGCACTGATCTTTCTAAGAGATTTTTTTGGTGGGGGGCGGTTCTGGGTGTCAAACTCAGGACCTCGTGCTTGTGAGGCAGGCAGCAGCACCACTGATCTAAATCCCCAGGCCTAAGGCACTGCTTTTAAGCCCACAGATTGAACACATCTATACATCTATGTGGCCAGCAACCCAATTATGATAGAAAGCTAGACTGTCCCCACAGTTGCTATTAGCCACATGTGACTCCTGAATGTTGAAATATGACTGTCCAAACTGAGATTTACTGTGAGTTTAAAATACACATCACATTTTCAAATAATATCCCAAAAAACAAAGAATGTAAAATATCTTAATAATTTTATATTGATTACATATTGAAATAGTATTTTGTTCATACTGGGATAAGTAAAATATGCTTATAAAATTAATTTCGCCCAGTTTTTGTTTTTATTAATATTACATAAATTAAAAGTTAAATATGTGCCTCACATTATATTTCTATCAAACGGTGCTGGTATAAGATATTTCCATACCCCTAACAGACCTCTCATGGCCCAGTCACTTCTTACTTCAGATCCCTTCAAGTGTCATCAATCACTGTCACCACTGTTTTGCCTGTGTCCTGTATGACATCATAATCGTGTACACTTTCCAGGAATGATTTGTTTTCTTTCAACAAAATATTTAAATATGTCCATGCTGTGTTTGTCCATAATTCATTCTTTTTTGTCCCCAGATTACATTTTTTTTATTAAATCTTGAGTGCCATTTAACATTTCTTCTGTCCCTTATGGTTATCATAAATTAAAACTTTTCATCTTTTTAATTTTTTATTTTATAAACAATATGAATTTGTTTTCCTACTTTGTCTTTTAATTCCTTACAAAAGCAACACAAAAAATGACATTTCACTGGTGAGTAAAGACACATATCTGCCCTACTTGGTACAGTGGTTGGTTTTAGGAAGCTAAAATATGAAAGGCAAAGATAGTAGAAGAGTCTAGTTGAAATCAACTCAGTACTTTAGTAGTATAGTCTCAAATTTGCTTTCCTCAGTTAAGTAATCCTTTCCTCCCACTTTATGACCCACATAAGAGGTCATATATGTTTCAGGTAAATAAATGTATTAGCCTATAGCAACATCTGTTGGGTTATTTTAAAACTTCATGCAACTTCTTGACTGATACGTAAAAGATAAACTAATTTCCTTTATCAATAGGAGTTACTTATGTATATTAATTTTCTTTTCCTGTTAACAATTTGCTATGCTTTTCTTTTTTTTGTCTTATAACTTGCTTCTATAGATTTGTGCCTAGAGCAACGGAGGCTAAAGAAAAATATTAGCAGAAAACAATCAGAGGGGTCCTTATCCTTCTACCCATGTGTTAAGCATATGGTTTTTCATATATAACACTTCTCAAGAATATGGGGTTCCTGAATCGGTATCTTAGGATATCCTAACTTTTCACTTATTTTAAATTTAATGTGATTATCTGAAAGAAAGGAAAATAAACAAACTTATGGTTATATTTTTCCTTAGAAAGTTCCCTGCACTTCTTGTGGCGAGAGATTATTACACCAGAGGGTTTGAAACTCTATTATAATCCATATACAGGATGGTAAGGCAAAATTTTATTTTATTTGCTTGATTTAAAAAATAAACAGTAAGTTTTATGACATTATAGCATATATCCTTAGTTTCAGTAATATTTCAAGAAAGCCATATTAGAGATTTTTTTTTAAACTAGAATACACTTAGAATTAATTGTATTTGTCACTTTGGTAAATGAATACTTCATAATAGACATAAGATGCTTACTTATCAAGACTCAAAAAAGAGATTTTTATTCTAAATAGAAATGTCACCTTGTTTATTAATAGGTTGTTTTTACACTTTTCGTTGAATTTGTCAATTTATGTTATAAAAAGTTTTAAGAATCATTGATAAATATAATTAATGAATGATAGTTATTGCCCTTTATGTTTTACTCACAGATTCATAAAGATCATAGAAAGAACCCAAACGTATTTCCTTTTAATTATAGGTGAAAAAAATGACAAATGTTTATCCGTACCGCTTTCATTCTGCACACTTAGTTTGGCTTGTACAGTTTTTTTTATTACAATTCTTACATTTATGATCTAGGGATTTTAATTGTTTCACCCTGAGGTATACTTTGAATAAACAGACATTTATACATTTCTTCCAGTTATCTTTAGGGACTCTAATTAAGAAGTGTATTTTTTATTCACACTCCTGTGATGTACTATGCTTGTGTCTCACTTAGCATCATCCGTGAGTACCCACATTCTGGGCCACAGTTGCTTGGTGGAATCTTAGCAGATGAGATGGGTCTTGGAAAGACAGTGGAGGTTTTGGCACTGATTCTGACACATACTCGACAAGATGTCAAACAAGATATTCTCACTCTTCCTGAGGTAGGAGTTCTGTAGTGCTCGGCACAGCAGGGGACATACATTCTCAAAAGGCATCATATGGTGAGCATTTGCTTTGGTGCTCACGTCAACACTTTGTTCAGTGTGGCTAATGATTTGTATTAGTGTTGGTCAACTTCAGTGGGCACAGAAAGCAAGCTATGGATGAACCTACAAGTTTTTCTCATGGTGTTGGCCAGCTCGGAAGAGGATATGCAGTCACTTACCAAGCGTCCCACTAGTTGGCACAGAAACCCCTTTATGAAAGTGCTCAGAGGTTTTGTCACTACAACAAGACATCATGTACCACTAAATATTTTTTAAGAACCCTTTAAAAAAATTAAATAAATCTCAAATATATACATCTTCAAATCTAGTAATTAGAACTTTGTTGAAGGATAGATAACTTACTAAATAGAGTGTTAGATGAGATACTCTTAAGTCCTTTTCCTGAAAATATAATTGTGCTTAAAAATACAATGTTTAGAGTTTACTCCAAAAGCCTCATTGAGGCAAATATAGCTCATGGCTTGTATTTTGCAGTAATGAAATCTGAGATCAATAAATTAAATCCTACTGAAATGAGACACCAGTAGTTAAGGGCATAACTGTAATTAATTGCCTTTATGGTTGATCAGGCTCATAGCCTTAGTGTTTTATGATCTGTTAATAGGGCAAGTTTGCAGAATTGGTCTTTCAAATTTGAGGAGGTATTTTAGTCAGATTTCTCATTGCTGGAACCCAGTGCTGAACACCCACAACTTAAAAGAGGAGGTTTAATTTGACTCATGATTTCAGGGAACTCCAAGGCAGGACAAAGGTATGAAGAATCAACATTACTTAGTTCATGGTTTCATAGAAGCAGTAACAGAAGGAAGGAGCCCGATCAGTGTATGAATCCACTAAGTACCGTTCCCCCATGGTCCAGTCACCTTCCAAAAGCCCACCTCTGATTGTGTGATGCATTTGTCAGACGTGTTAGATCTAAACCATAACAATAGGAACAGGGAAAAAAAAATCTTTTGTAGAAAAGTGACTTACAGTTTTAACTATCAATAACTTCCTTCTCTTCTCATTGCACATTTTAATTCCAAGTTATTATCTTCAGTATCTTTTTAAGAATGCCTTAAGAATTAATTTCAGATAGTCTTCCCTTGATTTTTAGATAATAGGCTTAAATTTAAAAAGCAAGGACTGGGGAGTTCGATCCCTAGTACTGAAAAAAAAAGCAGTGGCTTCTTGTAAGGTTGGAAATAAAAAAAATAGATTTGTATATATGAATAGTGTATTTAGCCCTTTCTTTTCAAATTGTCTACTACTGCTTTATTTCCTTTATGGAAAGAGTATTAATTTGAATAAACAATTCAGAATACTGAAAGCAAATATGTGACTACTGAATGTTGTTTACATATCAGGGAAAAGAGGTGAACTATTTCATCCCATCCCATTGTTTCAGAGGATCAGTTAAAGACACAAAAACTCAGAATATGGAATTTGAACCAAAAGAAAAAGTTCAGTGCCCCCGTAAGTATCTCTTAAAAATACCTTATTATGATGATGTTTGTTATAGTTCTTGCAATCTTTACTGATACCGTCTCATTGTTATGTTTTTGCATTTGTCTATACATAGTAAAAATGGATCTAATTACAATTCATAATGTGCTGACAAAAACAAAGTCTTCTTTGACTTGGTCTAGGTAGTTCTTGTTCAGTATGTTTTTCAGATTTCTTTAGCTTACATTTTTAACCTGGATTTGTTTACCCTGTAATACAACTATGTAAAATTAAATTCTTAATGAATATTTCCTTCATACAGTGATAGCATATAGAACATAGGATAACTAGGGGAGATTCCTTTTATAATTTTGAATGTTTATTGTTTTGTAAGACTACATTGATTTGAATAATTCTTCCTGAAATTATTTTTATTATAATGATTTACTATGTTGGATAAATATTTATTATGTATCCTCAAAATAATACTGTATCACAGTAAATTTAACTGTTTTCTTAACCTTCTCCACAATGCAGATTGAGTTGTGTTTCCATTTTATTTTACTTATTTTAACTGAGTCGCGATATCTTTTTGCATTTAGCTACCCGTGTGATGATCCTGACAGCTGTAAAAGAAATGAATGGGAAAAAAGGAGTTTCCATCCTTTCTATCTATAAGTATGTCAGTTCTATATATAGATATGACGTTCAACGAAACAGGAGTCTTCTGAAACGGATGCTGAAATGTTTAATTTTTGAAGGTCTTGTGAAACAGATCAAAGGTCATGGTTTCTCAGGGACCTTTACATTGGGGAAGAATTACAAGGAGGAGGATATATGCGATAAAACAAAAAAGCAGGTACTTGAGCATTTATTACATACTAACATCTGTACGTCATGCCTAACAGAATAAGTTGACAGATCCCACCTTGACACTTAAGGTTTTACAGTCTGAAGATTATAAAACAAACTATAGCCATTCCTTGTTTAACAACCAAGTTTTTTTCTTGCTGCTAGGTTATTAAATGAACTGGGCACTAAATGAGGAATTGTACATGGCATGTACATTACAGTATTCGGAACAAAGAAATAGTAAAAGGAAACTCCAGTTTGATGACTTTGTTTTTATTTGCATAACTCTTACATGCACTACCGAAATGCATAGTAAAGCTATGGTACTGTACAGTACAATCCAATCAGCAAAAATTGTAGTTCTGTATTGTAGTTCTGCCATTCATGTTCATTCCTGTGTTGTGAATCAAACGTGAGTGGTAAGTCCGAGTGGCGGGTTACAGGTCTGAACAGTTCACCTTAGCCATAAGTCCAAATAGTCATTAATCGTGTAGGTCATTAAATGAGGAATATCTATAGTTAGAAAAAGCACTTATGCCTATGATTTCTGTTTTCTAGTTTCCGACTATAAACTTTAGAACACTAGAATCTTTATTTTGGTTACCAGTAAGCCTACACAGAGGTGTTTGGCATATAACAAGTATTCAGTTAGGTGCATTGTAAAATTAGTTGATTAAGTTATAGAGTTTAAAATTACCTCTATTCTTGTCATTCCACTGTCAAAAGTTAAAAACTTCATTCCACACTCAAAGTTGTGAATTTAGGTTCAGAAATACAACTATGTTGAAATAAGTTAATTAAATAATTGTTTTTTTAATAGACAGTAGGAAGTCCAAGGAAATTTCAGAAAGAACCTAGAAAATCAGGGAATAAAGACACAGATTCTGAATACGTGCCATCAAATACCTCCGATGACGATGATGATGACCCTTACTATTATTATTATAAGGCCAGGAAAAATCGTAGTAAACTGAAGAAAAAGCCCATGCCATTCACGAAAAAAGGGAAAAGTCAGCCTGATACCAATGCTGATGTACAAGGTCACTGTCCAGCCTCAAGTGAGTCTGGAATTACTGATGTTGCCATGTCTGAAAGTACTTGTGTCTCTGAAGTCAATCAAGAGCAAGAAGCTAAGGACCACAGGGAATCTCTAAACCCTGCTAGGAATGAGGGACCATGTTCTGATGTCCTGAGTCCCTATGATAATGCTGATTATCGCTTTGAGTGCATATGTGGTGAATTTGACCAGATAGACCGTAAGCCCCGTGTTCAGTGCCTGAACTGCCACCTGTGGCAACATGCAAAGTGTGTGAACTATGAAGAGGAGAACCTGAAAATTAAGCCTTTTTACTGTCCCCACTGCCTTGTGGCAATGGAGCCAGTATCGACAGGAGCAACTCTGATCATCTCTCCGAGCTCCATCTGCCACCAGTGGGTGGACGAGATCAACCGGCATGTGAAGTCCTCATCTCTTCGAGTCTTGGTAAGGCCTTGGGCTCAGAGGGTTAACAAGGGGTACATTTTTGCTTCCTCACAACAGTTTTTATAATCTTTATTATTTAATTCCAGAAGCTAATTTATTGGTATGATAACAATATTAAACCACAGCTGGAAGAGGAAATTAAAAGAAATAGAAGAGTAGACTGTATTCTTTCCTAGCTTTCAAATTTTAGAAGTTAGAGCGCTCCAAGTGTGAAGATGTGAAAGCCTTTTTAAAAATTCTTGATCACTTAAATGTAAAAGCTAGTATAAGCATTTATGCTTTGAGAGAAAAATATATTCCAAAGGCAGCACTGTGTAATTGCAGCTGCCAACCTGATCTATTACATTTTAGCTCCAAAATTGTCCTCTGAAGTCTCAGTTACCTCATTAGTAAAATAAAAATTTACTCATTCAACACATTTATTAAGCACCTATTATGTGCCAAGAACTATGTTAAGTTCTGAATGAAAATAGTATCTTATCATAGATTGATGAAGTTAAATAACTGATAAAGTGCTGGCACATAGTGGTGGTCCATTAGGGTTGTTGTTCACTAAGTTAGTACCTTTCGCTGTCTTTGTTATTCCTTCTTTCCATGTAAATGTTTTTGTAGGTTTTTTTATATTTCAGTCACTACCATAGGCTAGGAGAGTACAGTAATAAGTAAACCATAAGTTTTGCCATTTGAAGAGCTGTGTTCCATGTGGGTAGGTGAGCCTTGAAGACTCAGCATCTAGTTTTGAACAAGTTAGTTGATGTTCTTTATGTGTCGGGCAGGAATAATAGAGCAACTACCAGTATTGTTGAAATTTAAAGACAATGTGTAACACCATATATGAAACACAAAAGGTATTTCATGAATAGTCGTTCTCACTGTTGTAATTTTTCATACCATTGTGTTCTCACACATCTATTGATTTCCTCTGTATACCTATCCTCCTCTTCCTCTTCTCCACCTCTGAGAACTCTAAGTGTTCCGGAAGGTACACCTGACATTTTAGTTCCTCTGAATTCACCTTTTCAGCCACACAGTTGGTCTTGGCACTGTGCTGCCATTGCATTTACTTTTTTTTATAGTTCCTTCCACATTTCTCACACAGACAGGTAGGAGATCTACCTTGTAGCATGTATGGTCCTAAGCACATGGGAATACTCAGTAAGGGTTTAAATAAATGAATATTACATTGTCTTCGATGAACTCTTTTACAATAACTGCATCGGTGTGGATTATTTTCTAGGTATATCAAGGAGTAAAGAAAGATGGCTTTTTACAGCCTCACTTCTTGGCAGAACAAGATATAGTTATCATCACCTACGATGTCCTTCGTTCAGAACTGAACTATGTGGATATCCCACATAGCAATAGTGAGGATGGGCGTCGCCTCCGGAACCAGAAGCGGTACATGGCCATTCCCAGCCCCCTGGTAGCTGTGGAGTGGTGGAGGATCTGCCTTGATGAAGCCCAGATGGTTGAATGTCCAGCAGTGAAAGTGAGAGTCCATGCAAAATCCTGTGAGAGCTGGGAAGAAAGAAAGGGATTGGGCCAGACTGAATAGTTAAAAGTATAGTTCGCCCGTGATACTGACACTAGTCGAGAGTTGGCTATTAAATGCTCTGTATTTCATTTGCTCTCTTGCAGTGCACTGTGCCACCCTTTGGAATTGTTTCACGCCCTGTGCCTGGTTGCTCTATATGCTCTGTACATATATATTTGGATGTCAGTTTATGTGTGGTACAAATCAAAGTAAAGCGTATTTAGGAATTTTTAAATAATTTATGCTGGCTAGAAGCTCAGCACGTGGCCTCTAATAACTTTGAGCCAGAGTTGACTCTTATGGTTTAGTCTTTCTCAAAGAGATCAGATAGTTACAGAAAATGCTGTTTCAGAGAACAGAATTTTTAGCTTTTATCATGTATCTTTCTCTGGCCTTCTTCAAACAGTCTGAATTGAATTTATGCATCATATCTGTTGCTCCAGAGGTTTACATCTGGAATGTGAGTTGGTATAGGTGACTTAACCATTACTTAGGGGAATTTTTTCTGTCTCTGCATGCATATACCCTACCACATGGCACATGGCAGCCTCCCGCCTGAGAGAACCACTGTACTTGGAGATGGCCTGTTGACTGGTACATTTGACATTAGTGTGTTAACTGTCAGATAAGAGCAGGTGCTCACCGGAAGGATAGCTTTTTGTGGGCTATTTTACAAGTAAATGTATACCTGGTGTCCACATTCTTCACGTGACTCATTTTCCTTTTGTTTATGCTTCGTATTCCTCTCTTACTAGGCTGCAGAAATGGCCCTGCGTTTGAGTGGGATTAATCGGTGGTGCATCAGCGGCACTCCAGTACAGAGAGGCCTGGAGGGTAATGTACGGCGTACACACTTACTGCAGTGACTGACGAGATAGCTGTTTCTGAGGGAAAATACCATTGTGCTTCAGTTTTTAAATTCTTATAAAAATGAACATGTATTTACACTTCACTCCTAATAGTTTGAAGCATTTATCTTTTTAAATGGAACTTGAGTGATTGTTCTTTTTTTTAATATAAGAACAGTTGTGAAGTGAGGGGCCCCACTGCCTCAGGGTGAACCATTACTTTACTTCCCTAAACAGTATGCACATGGGTCTGAAGTGATCTTAGATTTCCAACCTGATAGAGACAAGAAAGGAAGCAAGGAAGGAAGGAGAGAAAGAAGGAGAAAGAGAATTTCAGCTGACTATTAAAACAGAGACCATAATTTTCATTGTCTAAATCTAGAGTGGGATCATAATTTTACTAATTTGAAAGTTAGAAAATATATGTATAGTTTCACACCATAGTAGTATTCCATCAACAATTCCTTTTTTTTTTGGTATCAGGAATTGAATTCGGAACCTTGTGCTTATGAGGGCAGCAGCAGCACCACCACTAAGATAAAGCCCAGCCCCAACCTTTCCTTTTCTTGAATGATTTGTGTAGTCTTTTTCTTGCATACATTTTGTTAGAAAAGACACTGCATTTTTAAAATCTTTAGTCAAGCTGTAGATATTTAAAACTATAAGTAAATGTTTTATACAAATTTCCTGAAAAGCTGTCATTAAAATGTAGTTCAATTATAAAGCTTAGATACACTTTCATCTTCACCTTTCTGAAAAATTGAAGTTTTCATATTACCTTTGATTTGAACAGGATAATTTATTGTGTGCCAAAATAAAAATATCAACCTTTATTACTGCAACCTGAGTGGTTATTTTTAGAGGAAAAATATTTCCTAGGGAAATTGTAAGTACATATTTTAATATCGACATAGTTTATGCAAAGATAATAGTAAATTTCCGTAAACCCTGTACCTAGTTTCTCTTATCTGTACTCTTACCATCCAAAGAGGCCTAGACAGTCTGAAGGTGTGTACTTCGCATTTTTTCAAAAAATTCACCTAATTTGAATGTTACATGAAGATACTTAATTATAGAATATCAGCCTCTTTAAAAGGTCTACTTTCACATTTGGTAATTGCAAAAAATTTACAGTAGTTATTATGTATTAGATCTCATTCAGCTTAAAAGTCAGCTGAAGTGTACAGTAAAAAAAGTAAAATGACTGAAAGTTATTTTCTCTCATTGAAATGTTGAAAGAATATGAGCAAAATAGGTTATCTTGATGATGTGTGATGTTAGCAGGTGTTACCATTCAACAAATGCTTGAATAATTTTTTAAAACACAGCTTTTACGCTGTTTGAGCCTCATTGAGGTATAAATGACAAATAATAAAACTAAGTATTTTAAATGTGAAAAGTTTTAGCATATCTGTATACCCATGAATCTACTTTCACAATAAGATAATTATGCCTAAGAGTCTCCTCGTGCCCTAAGTCACTTTAAAAACACCTTTGCCAAGCTTTTTGGAATTTTCTCTTTGTTTCTGTGATACCGGTGTATATTCACACCACTGTATTTGGTGTTTTCCTACTTAAAGTGGCAATGTTAGTTTGCCCATGACTTTCTATGCTGCATTTGGAAATTTAATTTTCATTTATTTTCTTTTTTCTTCAATCAGAGTTTCTTGGCCTTGGTAATGATACATTTTAAAATAATTTTTATGCCTTTTAAAGAGAATGTATATCCACTGTAAAAATTTAGTAATACAGAAAAAAAATTATAGTCACACATGTTAGTCTTCACTTGAAGACAAAACCATATTTAGTTTTTGATGTTTAATTTTTATATTTGAGCTCACTGCATGCATAAATTTATGTAACGGTTCATGTAGCATTTGTTATTCTCTTGGTCTTGTTTATTGGAGTGGAGTTACTTGGGAGAATATTGTTCATATCACCTGTGTGATTAGGAATTGTTTTTCTGATCCAGTAAATCTTATATTGACATATGTTGTTTCTATGTATATCTTGTCAAGCGTGCTCAAATAATTTTTTTCACTTTTGTCTGATGGCAATTTCAGACTCTTGGATGAAGTACAAACTTTGTGTAATAATTCTATAAGCTTTGTGACATTTCCACACCTGGAAAAAAAACCTAGATTAAATAGGTCTCAATAAATGTGAATTGAGGCCGAGGATTTAGCTCAGTGGTTCCACCACCTGCCTCATAATCGCAAGGTCTGGAGTTCGATCCCCCCACTACAAAAAAAAAAAAAAAAAAAATGTGAATTGAGTTGGAATTAAATTTCAGATTCGAGAGTCTTTAAAACTGCATTTTCAAAATAGTAATGAAGAAGTACTGAAACAATTGTTTTCATTGTGTTTTTACTGTTTTTATTTTCAGATCTTTTTGGGTTAGTGGTCTTTCTTGGTATCGAACCTTACTGTGTCAAACACTGGTGGTTTCGGCTCCTCTACCGCCCGTACTGCAGGAAGATTCCTCAGCATCTCTACAGCTTTATTGCCAAGATTCTGTGGAGGAGTGCAAAGAAAGATGTGATCGACCAAGTCAGTATGATTTTATTAATTAAAGATATTGCAAGGGGAAATAAATGAGTTGGGGTGAAATCTGTTTCAACTCCTCATTACAGATCCAGATACCTCCGCAGACCGAAGAAACACACTGGCTGCACTTTTCTCCAGTGGAAAGACATTTCTATCACCGTCAGCATGAGGTGTGCTGCCAGGACGCCGTGGTCAAACTCAGGAAGATTTCTGACTGGGCTCTCAAGCTCAGCAGCCTGGACCGAAGGACTGTCACCTCCATCCTGTACCCATTGCTAAGGCTCAGGCAGGCCTGCTGCCACCCACAGGCTGTGCGTGGGGAGTTCTTGCCCCTACAGAAAAGGTCTTACTACCCATTTCCTTCTACTGTGGTTGACAGCTCCAAGATAACAAATATTTAAGCAAAAATTTGGGGGCTTACAGTTTTATTCAGCTGTTTTTAGAAATGTAATAGTTTTTCTTTGTATGCAACCTCATTTGTGAAAGAGAGTCACATCAATATTATTTTCATGATTTTGAATATTTTAAGTTCAGATTGTTGGGGGTTTTGGTTCTGTTTGTTTGTGGCTAAACTCCAGATATGAAGTTTTTGTTCTTACTATATTTCTTGGTTCCCATATTGAGGAATTTGATTTTGATTAAATGTTTTCTATATAATTGTGCTATATGTGATTTTTTTTTCCATTAAAAAACATAAGGGAAATTATGTCTATAATATTCTGTTGCCCCAGAAATTTATTGTCTTAGAAACTGGGGCCAGGAATTTGGCTCAGTGGTTCCACTGCCTGCCTTACAAGCATAAGGGCTCCAGTTCAATTCCCAGTACCAAAACAGAAAGAAAGAAAGAAACTGGCCTACTTTTAGAACCTGACATTAGGAAGAAACCCTTTAGGTTCTGTAAGAGATATAAAGAGGACTAGATTTTGTGTTTGACTTTAAGTAGATTGGGGAAATAGTAAAGATGATAGATTTATATAATACAAGGCATGCATGATAAATTTAAGAAATGTGCATACAAATTACTGTGGAAATGGTTTCTATTTTAATGAGTAAGGTTAGACTAGACAGCCTTAAGGTAGAAATGATATTTAGGTTGGTCCTTGAAGGACCTTTTTTTAAACAGATTAATTAAGTTGCAATGCTGAGATTCAGACCCATCTTACATTCTAAACCCATAGTCTTCTAACTATATATATGGGGGGCTTTGAGACAGCATCTCATTATATAGTTCAGACTGGCCTTGAACTCAGTATGTAACTAAGGCTGGCCTCAAACTCATGGTGATCACCCTGCCTCATCCTCCCAAATATTGGGATTACAGGTGTGCACCACCATGCCCAGCCTAAATATATTTTATGTTTTATATTCGAGGGAGATTTTTCTAGTTTGTTTCTCCTTTGACTGAAATGAAAAACTTTTAAAGAATGATAGGATCAGAGAGGAGTGCTTGCGAGAATAGTAATAAGTAAGTTAAAAGCAATAGTAATAAATGGAGCTGAAGAACAAAGCACTGGTGGTGTCACTTCATCTTGTCCGGCACTCCCAGCTGGGAATTGATCACTGGGGTTCTCTGTCTTAACAGTCTTCCTCTTCTTCCAGCACCATGACAATGGAGGAGCTGCTGACATCGCTGCAGAAGAAATGCGGGACTGAATGTGAAGAAGCTCATCGGCAACTCGTCTGTGCCCTCAATGGCTTAGCAGGCATCCATATCATTAAAGGTAGGAGGTGACGGCTTTGGTAGCGCTTGTTCTTCTGAGGAGAGTTTATTAAACTCAAACTCAGCCAATCCCAATAGAGTCACTTTCACACACTCCTGAACTCTAGGCTCCATTCAATAAAGATCAGTTATGCAGAACTTTTTAAAAACTTTCAAAATTACATTCCCTTTGTCCAGACTTTTCCACTCCTTAGGGAAACTAAGGCATGACCAACAATTTGGCCATAAGTTGTGAATCTTTTATGGTGAATAATGTAAAACAACCAAAATGTCTAGAAATAGAACAGTTAAATTTTGATATATGGCAGTGTTGTTGTTTATGGGCTTTAAAATAATATTTATAAATATTTTTCCCATAAATAATTTATGTGCCAGGAATGATCTAGGAAAAGTAATTTAAAGTAAAGTCTCAGATTCGATGGATCTTTAGTTCTTACAGAAGGTGACAAATACACCTGTTTACACACAATGTATACATGTAAAGTTATAAATTATGTATCATACACAGAGTTAAAGTGGGTCAGAAAGAGACTGTAATATGTCAGTGGAAGACATATGTACTCTTCTCAAGAATCACTTTTTTGTTGCTATATGTCTTGATAGCCTTCAAACTCATTTCATGTATTATACCTGTCTTAGTTGTTAAAAGACAGAAGTTAAATCCATTATCTGGTACTGTCTTAGCAAGAAGCAGGTCTATAACTGGCGCTTTAATAAGCACCGTTTGGTAGACACAGTTTCACAGAATCATTAGAACTTTGTTTCATAGATTGAGTAGAGATTTTAAATGTTGAATACAGACATTAAAAACACACAGACTTCTAGAGATGAAAATTTCAGTGTCTGATATTGAAAATGCACTTTAAATAAATAGAAGATTAGGGATTGCAGGAAAGATGAGTAAAGCTGAAATACAGCATAGCAATGGAAAATATCTGACATGAAAAACAAAGGCAGTAAAGACTAAATTTGCAAAAGAGCGTAAGTGAAATTGTGAACAACTTGAAGAGGTCTAAAAGTAGTGGGGTCTCTGAAGAAGAAAACACTTTATGAACAAATACATTGTAGATTTTATAACATTAAATTGTAAACTATGCAGTAACATCACCACAAAATCTGGGAGAAGTGGACATGTAATGGGGCATGGTTCTTATGCCATAGGTAAAATGGTGTGATGATACCACATGAAGTTTGAGTTTGGCAAGTTATGTGCTGTGTATCCTATAAGCCACTGAAAAAAGAAAAACAGAAAAAGGAAGAGGAAAAAAAAAGCAGTAATAAAAGTGTTTTGTTTAAATAAAAGGCAAAAGAAAAAGGGGAACACAGAACAGAGCAGACAGCTAGAAAACATAACAAGAGAGGGTAAATTTATACCAGGCTGTATCAGTGATAATACTAAACATGAGGGACCATCAGGCTCTAAAACAACCAACAATATGCCATCTATAAGATGTGTCATATACATGTACCGAATACCCACAACAAAAGTAGTCATTATCATAGACATGTACTGTAAAGACACAAAGATGTACCACATTAACGCATTTGAAGGCTGAAGTGACTGTAGTGCTATCAGGCAAAATGGGTTTCAGAGCAGAGAACGCTGCTATTTTATCACTGAAAAAAAAAAATCCCAATGATTATACACCTAAAACTAGAACTTTGAATCAAAAACTGATAAAACTGTAATGAGAAATAAATCCATAATTATAAGAGACTTCAACATTCCTCTCAATTATTTACAAAACAACTAGACAGAAAATAAGTACATTGAGAACTTAATACTACCAATTGGTTTGCCTAACCAACACTTATTGAACACTACCAACCAAAGAGGAATATGTTTTCTTTGAAGTTACACCTGGAGCATTACCCAGGTATGGTGTATTCTGGGCTGTAAAACAATGAATAAATTTAAAAGGATTCAGATCTCCCAATGCATGTTGTATGACTACAGTGGAACTAAATTAGGTATCAGTAAGAGAAAAATAACTAGAAAGTCTTCAAATGTTTGGAACTTAACACACATCTAAATAACCCCAAGCACATAGAGAATAAATCAAAAGGGAAATGGGAGTAATTTGAAGGGAATGAAATTGAAATATCCAGATTTGTGAGACGCAGCAAATCAGTAAAGGGAAATTTGTAGTACCAAATACATTGGAAAACTAATACTACACTGTACTGTTATAGTTGTTTTCGTTATTGTCAATCTTTTGAATTATAGATTAAACTTTTCTGTAAGTGTCTAGATATAGGAAAAGACATAGTATACATAGTGGATGCTGGAAACTGAAGATAGTACTGAACCTTCAATTTCCAGCATCCACTGGGAGATCTGGAATATATGCCTTGCTGATCAAGGGAACAACCATGGTGTTAAAGCTACCATTTTGTGATAAATGGTGATTTCTTCACCCTTCCTACAAGAAATCCTTGTGTGTTCAAGCCCAAGAAAGGTTACTGATACACTAGACTACTTCAATGCACAATCATGGAGAGAATTTACCACTGTTCTCATTTACCAATAAGAATTTAAAGCAGAGAAAATTGTATTTTCTGTAGAGTCTAAGGCAATATTCCAAGCATCTTTGTCTAGCCTTTAGTTATTTGTTCTTAGAACCAACAGAACGAGAACTAGGAGATAGCTCTTATTGTTCTGTCTTCTTTCCCATAAGATTTATCCTTGCCTTTTCCTGCTGTGAAGTTCAGGGCGGGAAAGAAAGGTCTCGCATATCATCATTCTCAGTGATCACATTCTCACAGGGTCTGTGCCTAGCTGGCTCCTGCATAACCCGTGCCACTGTGTCACACTACAGGTGCTTTAGCACAGCTCTTTTCAGGTGGTTTCCACTGTGTTCCCATGTAGTTCTTTTTGTGGGTAGAATTATAAGAAACTAATGCAAATTATTAAGAAAAATCCCTAGCAGAATATCTATTAATGCAGAATATGTCCATTCTAGATTTAATTGTTATTATAAACTTAAATTGTAACGTATTTGCTGCTTTTAGTTTCTGTTACTTGATAGTATACTAAATGAGGTACAAGATCCCAACAATGAATGTAACTGTACTGTATCCCTAAAATGTACCAATAAACTCAATTAAAGCTGAAAAAAAAAATACCCGTTTTGAAAGTTACGTTGTATTCAACTTACATAATTTAGATTCTTTGGATGTAGAGGTCAGTGAAGATATAACTTTCAAAAGAATTCTAAAATTAACTTCAAAGTCTAGAAGAGATTTGCTTGTATTATATGTAAACGTGTGCTGTACAATGACTGTTCGGAGGCCCTCACTGACTGTACTATTAAACACATAGTATTATTCCAATCTTGAACAGCATGCTTTCTATAGATGTTTTGCAGAAAATTTCAGTTTTGTAATATTAAGTCTAATACATTTTGTTTACTTGGAAGTTTTAGTGCCATCAAGTGGCTAAGAATGGATTACATTTAGCTTAAATTTGTGTAACTTATTTAATAGACGTATTTTATGTATGCCTCAAAAACGATATCCTTTTTCAATAAACAAAATTCATAACATTATAGTGAGTGATTCAAATTAAGCTGTTTATACTTAGTCACTGTTTCCTCCTTTAAAAGGGATAGTGATGATGAAGGGAAAATTATTAAATGATTTATTATCTATAGATAATAAAAATATTAATAGAATATATGACTATTGAATAATATCAATCAAGAATTTGAAAACTAAAATTTGATAGCACTGGGAAGATAATTATTACTTCTACACTATATAAAGTGACTATTATCATGAAAGTAATCTTCATCAAAATGAGTAGAAATTGGCTGAGTCTGTACTACTATGAAAATACATGTTTTAGGAAGCTTCGTGTTAGATAACTGATAGCACTAGATATAAAGCAGAAATATAAAAACAAGTATTTTACACAGTAGTGTGAATGTACATAATGCTGGAACAGTAGCCTAGTTATTGGGTGAAATGATAAATTTTAAGTTACGTACATTTTACTGCTGTGTATATATCAGCTTTCAGAGAGATACAAAATTGTGTATCTACATATAGACAGCTTATGGCTCCGCACACAATCCTTGAATATATGATATTAATAAAACTAGTTTTTAAAAAAAGCAAGTATATGTGATAACCATGTAATAATGTGATTATCAGATATGCTCTTATTTCATGATTTTGCCACTATTAGATTTTAATTGTATTTGTTATTCACCATTTTGAATTTTTTCCAAGTAACAAATAAAATAGATTGCATTATTCAAGTTTCATCCCACCTTTCTTTCAGGTGTGATTAAATTTTTCCTGTAAACAGCAACAATAAATATTCCAGGCTTTACATAGCATCTCTGTGCATCTAATTAGCTCTGCCCTTGCAGTATAAAAACAACCATGGGCAATACCTGAAAAAGCAAAACTAGGTTTCAGTAAAACCTTATTCATAGATCCGAATTTCAACTGATCTTCCCAAGTCACAAAATGTTATCATTTAAAATTTTTTTAAGCTGTATAAAAATGCGAAAACTTGTCTGCTGTTATAGTTCAGTGGTAGAGCACTTCCTTAGCATGCGCAAGGGCCTGAATTCTATCTACAGCACTGCTAAAAATAAAAAATAAACTAAATAAAAATGTAAAAGCCATTCTAACCTGTTGGAATCTATAAAATTGCAGAGAGTCAGCTATGATCCATAGCCCATAGTTTGCCAACATATGCTTTAATACTTTTTTGAATTGCTGTATGTGATGAGCTGCTAATTATAAACAAAAGAAAATAGCACACATTTCTGACTGATTATGATTTGTGTGAGCAGAAATGAAAAGATTTTTATGTTTTTAAATGTGGTTTTTTAATGGCAAATTATTTGTAGATAATACTATCTTGAATATATATTTATAAATGTTATAATTATCCCAAATTTGTCCATAATTTCAAATCATAATGGCTACTATTGGGCATCCTTTTACTTGCAACAGGAATATTAATTATCTACATTAAAAGTTGATTTAGTTTGTTTTTGATTCAAGCTTTAAATTTTTATGAGTATATTTGATTATAAATATACCCCATTGCTATTTCAGGACACTAATTTCTGTGGAATTAGGAAAAGAAACTGATTGGATTTTGTTTCTTAAACTGAGATAATCATATTAATTCCAGGTCAAATTACTTTACTTGAAAAGACAAGGGTTGAAAGTATAGCTCAGTGGTAAAATGCTTGCATAACACGCCATGTCCTGGGTATGATACCCAGCACACCCCCCAAAAAGTGAGCTATAACCATTAAGATGTTTTTTGTAGTAGATGTTTTTAGATTATAGGTAACTAAATTACTCTGGACTTAAATATATTACTTTCTTCTGCTTTAAATACATTTTATTTCTTTAGGTGAGTATGCTTTGGCAGCAGAACTCTACCGAGAAGTGTTACGTTCATCTGAGGAACACAAAGGAAAACTCAAAACTGATTCACTTCAGGTAAGTCAAAACCAAAGAAGAAAAAGTCCTAAGTTATGTATTGTGTTTATACAAAATAATTTTTCTGGATACTTAAGAGAGTGCAGAGTAACAGACTAAGTCACTGGGATAAAGCTTGGGATACATTCCTTGTAATAAGTACACAAAGTGATCTATGTGTGTAGTAAAGTTGGAGAATCACCACTGTTTTATCTGCTTTGGCCAGTCTTGGCCATACGTATGACAAGATAAATCTATAATCTACATAGAAAAATACCTCAGATCATTTGTACTTCAAAGGATAGGTTAGATCAGTTTTACAAGTTTTGCATAGTAACATCATAGTATTTTTAACCGAAAAGAAAAGAAGTTAGACTAAGTCTTAGTAGAACTAAGACAACAAAGAGCTCGCCAGTGATCTAATTTACTCTTTACAATCATTCAGGGAGATTTAGGATATTTCATTTGTAACACTGGTTTCTTTTTCATTTCTTGTTTTTGCCCAGTGTACCATAGACCAGGGTCTCTAGCTAAATGGGAAATAAAAAACACTTTTATTGATTTTAACAAGTTTACACTTGAATCCTAGGTAAATTGACTTGTTTGCTATTCAGAGTAATGATCTGGGGACTCACATGATCACATGTGACACAGTGGGTGTTTGTAGGAATGAGTAGGAGAGGAGTTTGACAACTAGGAACTACTTTCACTTTATTTCTTCTCATAGCCCTTGATTCTAGAGTGTACCTCTAGCCAGTTGCAAACTCATTGTCACAGTAGGAAATGTATTATCCATAGACATAAAATAAAATTTTCTCTTTCTTACATCCTTACCTCCAGCCTCTCCCTTTCTCAGCCCTTAAGCTCAACACGTCCACCCTGTTTTCTTATATGCTTTGTTATCCTTATTTTTATCATAATGTAATGGCTAGGTTTATTCAGACATATTTTCCAAGAGAAAAGGAATCAAGTCAGGGCAGACAGCCTTTCTACTTCACTGGATTTATTTGGCTTTCTCATACTTTGCTGTGTAGTCAAATGCACGTATAATAGGAAAAAATATACCTGTACTACATACTCTGCTGAGTGCAGGGCTGCACTGCATAAGGCTGTATGTTTTTGACTGAAGAAAATTCATGTCATTATGACTAAAGACCTTTACTATGAAACTGACATAAGTCTTCTCCAAAAAAGCTGGTATTCAAATTGTTTTAGAGGGAAACTGTTTGGTTATAATGATCTTAACAGTCTTGGTGCTGTACGCCGTATTAATGTTAGGTTCTCTTTAGAGCCTGCTGTACTGCCTGTCATACTGCTTTTTGTGTGTTTGTAGAGACTTCATGCTACCCATAACTTGATGGAATTATTGATAGCCAAGCACCCAGGGATACCTCCTACTTTGCGAGATAGTAGACTTGAAGAAGAGGTAATTACTGCTTTTCCAAAATTCTATCTATAGAAGGTTTTTTTTCAAGTTTTATGCTGCATCTAGTTGATATTTCCTAGGGTACACATTTAAGTAAATGCCACCATGTTTTCCTGTTGCTTTTGTGTTCCAAACTTTGTTATGGTGATTTTGAGTGGTGAAGAACAGGAATATTCCATCTGATTTTGCTTCTACAGTGATCTGCTTGTAAATACGTTGCATGATAATTGCTTCTTGTAGCTTTGGCATAGGTTGAAAAGGACTGCTGATCTCTTTGCCTATATACAAAAGATGGAGTTTAGTAGATACAAAAAATTGTGCACTTTGTCTACCTTGTATATTATTGAAGCTTCTAAGTAAACTCAGATTTTCAGTGGTATTTCTCTCAGAGAAGTTCCCTCCACAATGAGTTGCCTCTCATTGAAAGGAGTTATGCTATAAATTACTATAAATTGTTAAGAGCTTATTATGTTAATTCTCCCATGGACTTTTACCATTTTTAAAGATCAAAGAGGAAGAAGAAAGCTAAAAATCAAAAGTTTAGGTGTAGTTGAAATGCATTGAACCTGTCATTGAAGCCTTTATTTGAAACAGCATGATTTAAAAAATGAGATTGTATAACTTCATAGCCCTTTGACTGCGCTGCTGTTTTTAGTAAACTATTTCAATTGAAAAAATATATTTTCTTACAGTGTATATAATAATGTTTCAATACACATAGAAATTGTAGAATGACTAAATCAGCCTAATTAACCTATCCTTGCTATCTCGCATACTTAATTTTATAGGGAGAACATTTAACTGTCAGCTATATTTACATAGGCAGTGCAATGTTAACTATAGTGATTTTTGTTATATAGTACATCTCCATAACACATTGCTCTTTTTTAATTGGGTTGTTTTCCTGCTATTGTTTGAATTCTTTGTATATTTTGGCTCTTTCGCCTTTATCAGATACAGTATACAGTTACCACATATTTTCCCCAGTCCATAGTCAGTATTTTCACTTTGCTGTGCCATGGTTTTGAAGGCCCAGTTCTTGAGGCTCAATGGCAGTCTAAGTGTTAAGAGTTTTCAAAGTAATTCTCATCCCCAGTATGGGCTTCTCATCCATTCATATAGACAGGCACTCTGTCCCAGTGCCTTCAGTGACGGGAAACTATCATTGGGACACTGCATAGTCTATTAGTAAGCAGCTTTAATGACCGACTAATGACAGCCAAGGAATTGTAATAAAAATTAATTGGAAGCTTGTGCTTGGAAAAGGAAAAATGGATCATAAGGCAAATACTTACACTATGTAACTGTATTTCCAAGGAGGCCACATTATTACTTTGCCTAACTCTTATAGAATGTAAAGCCACAGTACTCAAAAGTGGACAACATCTTACAATCTATTTGCTCCCACCACTTTTATAGATGAACTAAATGAAGCCCAGTGAAGTGAATAATTAGTCCAAAGAGATACATCTGTTTAAGTTGAGCCATATGAAATTCTCAAAATTGTCAGATATTGGCAATTTCATGAGGTTCAACCTCTACTGAGTGAAAGCATCAGGATTTCCATTTCTGTAGTCCTTGTAGTTCTCCTTCCACTATTCCATAGACTACCGTCAAATCCCCTTTCTGTAGTCATAATCTAAAGCTAATTGAGTATTCCAGTTCAATGGAAGAAAGTGAAGAATTTTTATGTTTCCTAATTTTAAATTTATAGGAATAAAATGTTCCTATTTAAAAGAATAAAATAATTTGATTACTTATAAATGATATGATTATTCTCTGTAAAAGGTAACCTAGGCTTGCACTGCCAAAACAGTACTGCGGAGTAGGAGGCTTAAGCGCCATGATTTATTTCTCAGAGTTCGTGAGGTTAGGGGTCCAAGGTAAAGGTGTTGGCTCATTTAGTTTCTCCTGCAGCTCTGCTCCATGGCTTACAGAGATGTCTTGCCTCCTTCTCACTATATCCTTATATGACCTTTCCTTCGTGCTCATGTATCCATGGCATCTCTCCTTCTTGAAAGACACTGCTAGTCATACTCAGTTAAAGCCCTAATCTCATACTCTTATTTAATCTCAGTTACCTCCTTAAGCAGCCTATAAAAACTATCATGTTTGGGGAAAAATAAAAATAAATTTTAAATACCATCACACTGGGGACAAGGGCTTCAACACAGGGATTTGGGGGAACACAGTTCCATCCATAACACCTGTGTTACTATATAATTTCAAGTATTATTTTAAAACTGCAGTAATTCTAAAACTGTACTAATACATAAGATAAATAGTTCTGAAAGATGTCCTTTGCCTCATATTTTGAAAGGTTAATATTTGTTTTCCTGCCTTTATTTTTTTCTAATTAAAAAAATAGAATTTGAGGGAAAAGTTTTGGGGATTTCTTAAATTTTGTGAACTGAATTGATCATTTTTGTTCTCTTTAGTATATTTCTTAGGAATTTCTAATGTAGAGCTTTTTGTCTAAATCGTTAAGTAACTTAAAGTATATATAATAGCCACGTTGTTTTTAAAACACCCTATTAGACTACTTTCTAGGCCTAGAATGAAAGTTTATAGTTACTTTGTGTTTCAACCCAGGCCAAACAGCTGCGAGAGCACTACATGAGCAAGTGTAACACAGAAGTAGCTGAAGCCCAGCAAGCTTTGCAGCCTGTGCAACAGACTGTACGGGAGCTTCAAAGAAAAGTATGTTCCCGAAATGCAGTGTGTCTTGCTTGTCTTCTCTCCAGATAGCATTTTGGATGTTTTTGTTGTTCTTGTTTGGGGAGTGTCTTAGTTACTTTGTCATCACTAGGACATGGTATCTACACCCATAACTTATGGGAAGAGAAGTTGATTTTGCCTCGCAGTTGCAGTCCAGGATCAGCAGGACAAAAATTGGCATGGCAGAGGGACATACAGAGGAGAGCCGATCATGTCATGGTGGCCAGGAAACAAAAAGAGAAGAGGGGAGCCAGGAAAGGAGATAATGCCACACCTTTGGTGAACTGCCCAGAAGCAGACCTCGCCTCCTAACAATAACTCCCATAATCCAGTCATCTTCCAAAAGCCCCACCTCTGAAACATGACGCTCTTGGGGGACATTCTCAGTCTAAGCTATAGCATCCCAACCCTGGTCCCCAAAGACTCATGTGCATCCCTTTATGCAAAATGCATTAGTTTTTCTCTAAGAGTCACCAAAGTCTTAACAGCTTCAACAATGCTGAAAAGTCCAAGTGCAAAGTATCCTCTGAGACGCAAAGCAGCCCCTTAGCTGTACGTCCTTGTAAAAAATTTAAAAATAAAAGAAAAGTAAAATGCTACCAACATACAATGGCAAAGAGTAAACATTTGGATTCCAAAAGGGAAGAATAAAAACCAATGGAACCAAGGCAGGTAGGGCAAACATTAAATCCCAGAGTTCTATGCTCAGTGCCAGAGGCATATAAATGAATTCCGAAGAGCTTGGGCAGCCCCACCCCTATGCCATTGCCCATGGTTGTAGCCTTCATGGCTTCTCTCTTCAGCTGACTGCCCACTGCTTGCAGCCTCCTTAGCCAGTCCACCATTCTAGCTTCTCCGTTTTCCACTGTACTTTTGGCTTCACTGTCACACCTTCCCACACTGACATCTCCAAGGCACACTTTTGGGCCTCCCAGGCTTTCTTCTGAAGTCTGGGTGGAAGCCTCCTTAATTCCACAACTCTTGCACTCTGTGTGCCAGTAAAAGCAGCACCAAATGGTTGATGCCAAGGTCTGTGACCGCCCCCAGCATTAGCTGGACCCCTTGGATCATGGGTGCATAAGCTTCTGAGTGCGTGGATGGCTGGACTCTAGAAAATATTTCTGCCTTTGTCCTAGAAAGAGCAGAGTACCCTAGGTCTTATTTTTCAAAGCAAAGCCTTTCACTTTTACAGAGCACATGGCAGGGTCTTTCCATTTCTCAGGATGCCCCAAACACACCTTTTCTATTGTCCTGATTTAAAATACTTGGCTTCTTTTTCACTTTTTAGCAACCTCATTCTCAGTGAAAACATTACAGACCTCAGTTGCACTGAATCTTCTTTTCAGGTGAAACAAAAATTTTTGTTTTGATTTTTCACTGTAAATCTCACTAAAAGCAACAGGCAGTAATGCTAGATCCTGAATGTTAGACTGCTTTAAAATTACCTCCACCAGATTAATTAATCCACCACCTTAATCTCGGTCTCCCACAAAGTCATAGTGCATAAGCAAAATGTAGACAAATTTTTCTACCACAGCATAATAATACACATGGCCTTGGGTCTAACCCACATCTTAAAGAAAAAAAGGTATATTGTAGCCCATGGTTATACTCTATGGTTGGTTGGATCCAAGGCAGAACAGCATGGCAGAGGCATAACAGAGAAAAGCTGCTCACATTGTGGCAGTCAGAAAGCAGAGAAAGAAAGGAGGAGCTAGAGGGAGATAAACCCTTCCTGGTCATAGCCTAGTGACTCACCTCCAACCAGGCCCCACCTCCTAATAGCAAGTCAGCTGTAGTGACCACATAATTCAGTTATTTTCCAGAAGCCCTACCTCTGAGCTCAAGGCTCTTGGGGGACTTTCTCAGTTTAAATCGTAACAAGAAGGAACTTGAACTTCTTAATTTACTTTGGAATTCTTAGCACACAATACAGTGCCTGTAATTCAAGTTTATAGTTAGTATTATTTTTTGTTGAATGAATAGATGATTAGATAAATCAACTTTTTGAGGTTTTGAATTCTTTAAGCTGTGGTGGATTTCTTTGTACGCTCAGTTTATAACCAGTTACCTTTGGGAGAAAGTAGACCTTAATAACCTCCTTTTAGATACACATACTTCCAAAATCTTTCAGTTTTCTAAAACATTAGAATCAAAAATACTATTTTTCTTACAGAGCATGTACCATGTACATGTGTCTTTCTAAAGATTCTCTAATGATATTAGAAGCAGAGTCTAAGGAGGAGACTACAGAACATGCTCTCTTTTAAAGTCTTAAGTCAGTGGCTCCACATGCTGTTTTCCTAACCCATTAATTATTACTTAGGCATATAATCTTGTTATTTATTGTGCACTATTCAGTAGAATTGAGTTCATTTATCCAAAGATTAGAAGGAAGGCTTACTTTTTTATGATGAGAAGGAGACCTGTCACTTTTTCACATAGACAGTAAGTACTGAATTTTCACTTTGATATTTTAACAGTTTCATTGTACGTGTGTGTTATGTAATGGTAATTTTCATTTATCCAAGTTAGTAAAGAAAGTTTTTTCTCTATTACATGTGCAAAAGAGATATTCACCCAGTGAATATAGATTATGTGTGTTTGTCTCTCATCTATTACAATCCCTTTGAGAATAGCTTTTATTGCTTATTTGGAATTTTTCTCACCACCCTTCCCAGTGATGGAAACACTGAATACTAAAGAAAAATTTTTTTAGTTGATCACCTATTTTATTTTTCACAGATTCATTCTAATTCTCCTTGGTGGCTGAATGTAATCCATAGAGCAATAGAATTTTCTAAGGATGAGGAACTTGTTCAGCGAGTACGAAATGAAATAACCAGCAACTACAAGCAACAAACCGACAAGCTTTCTATGTCAGAGAAGTAAGAAAGCTGTATATTTCCATACGCTGTATTAGCCATTTTTAAATGTCTCTTTTTAGAGCCTTCTAAAATCTTTTTAAAGTATTTTCTTTGTGGGATACCCCCTAAGCCAACTTTGAGCAAAAATCGGAGTAGATTTTGTCCTTGATATAAGGCATCATTCTTTCCATGTGTGATTCATTCTCTAGGAGCTAAGCATCAAGTGACTGGAGGAAGGCCCAGGTCTTAAATCAGAGCTACATATTCTCTCCTCCTGTCTTCTTACCAACACTTACTATTCTGCAGGCTCTTCAGAGAAAGAGACCTGTTGTTCTTGAAGTATAAATGGTGAATAATTCTTCCCCAAGGATACATTTACTCCTTATTCAAAGTACCCTAAGTGGTTTAACCCAAAGGAATGTCTGTCTCGTATGGGAAGTTAAGTGTTATAGCAGAGCACGTCATGCTACACCAGCGTATAAACCATGCTATCTTTACATAAATGTGGCTATTTACGGACCATTACATAAAATATCAAAACATGTTTTAGATTGTGTAAGAGTGAACATATCTATAGGTAAGGACATTTTTTTGGTATTATTGTATATTCAGAGATCATTTTGAACTATTGTGTATAGTTTTGCTTGAAATTGGTATCTTGAAAGCTGTTATTTGAGTTTGCCATCTCTCTCTCACTGAGAAGGGCTGTGTGGCTTTGAGATGAGGAGCACAGGGTTTCCTCAGCTCGAACTGCTGGGCTTGCATCCCAGCTCCACCACTGTGGGCTCTGTGACCTTGGGAAGGTTACTGAAGCACTGAGCCTTGGGTTTTTCATCTGAAAAACTTTGCAGCACTGATGTATTAATTAGGTAAATTGATATCGGGAAAGCCCTCATCCAGAGTCATGTCTACCAGGCAGAATGGTGTGTGAGAGTTGCCTGTCATTGTTAGTATTTATATCTCTCTCATCTGAAGAACCTGTAAGAGAGAACATTGCCAAAACAGAGTAAATAATAAGTAATACTGTTCACCTTCATTCATATAGCCCAGAGTTGAGTGAATGGAGAGAAATTCCAAGGCTGTACTTCTTATTGCTTCAGAGGTTATTTTTCAGTGAATAATTTTAATTTCTAGTAAGTTAGAAATTTTTAAAAAAATCATTTTCTTCTTGTAAATATTGATGCCTTACCTAATATTGTTCAAGTGCCTATACAGATTTTTATTTTAGAAATTATTGAGCAGCTATTCTGTGCATGTTATATTTTTAAGGAAAGGGTTATGAATAATCCTTACCTTTTAAAACTCATAGAAAAAGCAAAACCCATGAAAAATTTGAGAGTAGATATGAAAATCTAACAAGTATTTTTTATTAACTCCATGGAGAGAAAGAAACATTAGTTTTGAAAGATATTGACACAGTCTTCAGGAAAGAAAAGTAGGTCTTTTGAACAATTCATAGATGTCATACAGCATTTCAGAAAGGAGACGTATACAAATGAATCATCTTTATATTTTCCAAATTTTAATTTATTTTTCTAGGCTTTTTCTTCACCTCAAAAACCCATATACATACATGCATGAATTTTCTTCTCAGCTCTTCATCCACAATTGATCAGAATGGTTAAGAGCATTGTCTGGAGGATCGAGAGAAAAGCTCAGAAGTGCTTAACATGTGTGAGGCCCTGGATTCAACCCTCCCTCCAAAAATAAATTTTTAAAAGCCTTGTAACTTAGCCACCTAATAATTTTCATAATTGCTTTGTAACCATAGATACCTTAATTTATCAAACTTTATCCATAATCTGAGCACAAGAATAACTCCTGAGCATATTAGAAGTACTAGGCAGGCCTGGGATTTGGCTCAATGGTTCCGCTGCCTGCCCTGCAAGCGCAAGGACCCAAGTTCGATCCCCAGTACCAAAAAAAAAAAAGAAAAAAGAAGTACTAGGCAAAGTGCCTACTATGTAGTAAATGCGTAATTAAAATTTTAAGCCAGGTGTGATGGTGCAATACCTGTAATCCCAGCACTCCTGGAGGCTGAGGTAGGAGAAACACAAGTTTAATCTCTGCCTGGACAACTTAGTGATTTACAGGGACCTTGTCTCTAAATAGAATATTAAAAAATGGTTGGAGATGTAGCTCATTGTGAAGGCCATGGGTTCACTCCCCAGTATTAAAGAAACATAAATAAACCTTAATTAAAAATTAATGATGTTTTTTCTTTATAATGATAAATATGACTTGGCTATGTAACTATTTTTTCTTCTTCTCAGTTTTGTTTTTATTTTCCTGTAGTCATTTCTTTGTATACCATGAGAACGAATGTCAGGAGGAACATGTATAGACCTTCACCTTTTAAGAAGGAAGGATGTAGTGATATTCTGATCTTCTAAAGACAACTGAGACAGAGACATATTTTGCAGTCTTTTTAGATCCTGAGCATAGAAGTACCAAACTTTCTTGGTATCCTTTATAATAGTAGACAACCCAGTATTGTTAAACATTGACTGGGCACCCTTAAAAACACACCTAAAGAAAACTTACCTGAATGTGGTTGGGAAAATGTAGCACACAGTTTCTTTAACACTTAACTTGGCAATCATTTTCTGAATTTGAGGAAATTGATCCAGTATTTTCTGTATTGTGTGTGGTGTTGGTCATGGGAATCAGGTTCCACGACTGCAGAGGTCTTCAGTTCTTACTTACAACACAAATGGATGAGCTAAATAAATTCCAGAAGCTGGTAAGAGAAGCTGTCAAAAACCTGGAGAAACCTCCATCTCGTAATGTTATTGAATCTGCAACAGTCTGCCACCTCCGACCAGCCAGACTTCCTCTCAACTGGTAGGTTGAAGAAATCGTACAGTGAAATGCCATCATTCCATTAAGCTAGATTGTATCTGAGGAAAGAAGTAATGCCTTATAAAATACTTTTCATTTTAACTCAGACATGTAGAAAAAGATAATTATTAATAATAAAATAACTCAAAGATTATGTACTAAAAACAATGTAATGTTTTTTTTTTCTAAAATGGATACCTCTTTAAAAATAAAATGAATTACAATATACTAAAAGTCTTTTAGAAATTATCTGATTGCTCTATATGTTTGTGAATATTCTCTGGTAATCTCTTTCAGTTGTGTCTTCTGTAAAGCTGATGAATTGTTCACAGAGTATGAATCAAAGCTGTTTTCTAACACGTAAGTTCTCTTTTGCTTATTACCCATCAGGAAAATGAGACATTTATGAGAGTTGATATTTGCTTATAAGACTATATTTTCCACTCTAGCCTTTAATATTTTTTCCTTTTATTAAATCAGTTCAAAAACCTTTTATCATTTGGTCTAACTTGCTCAGCTCTGTCTATGCAGAAGTTTTCACTAAATGCTTATGTCATGTAGGAATGTGTATCTCATTGAGGGGCATTTAATAGGAGTGGTAAGAGCTAGATTTACACTCAAATCCTTGTTCACTTTAATGAATAAATTGCTTTTCTAACCTGAGTGTCCTAATTCATAAAATAAAGACTTTATATTGAGTTTTTCAAACATTAAATAAAAAGGACATTAAAATACTGTTTAGTAAAATCCTTAGTATCATGTATACTATAAAAAATGTAACCCTCATTTTAATACCTAAGAAAGCAGGGTCTTCGTCCTTGCATTGGAGATTAAACTAGTGATTGCATATGGTTGTGGTATTAGCAAATTTATCTCTGCTTAGCAAACATGGAAGAAAAGGCTAAGTTTTGTCTCCCTCCCCTCAAAAGGAAGGGATTCACATTGTACTTTTAGATCATAGTATGGTTTGCTTCTTTTTTTCTTGTGTGTGCTTGCTGGTTTTTTGGCATGGTTGATAGTACAATGGTTTATGTTTTCTTAAAATGAGATTTGTAGCCTGGAATTGAGAGATACTTTGGTTTTCTCAGATTACTGTCAAGAAACACTGAACAAATTATGATACTTCCAGTATTTTTAGAGTTATTTTTCCAAAGACATGAAAGAAAGCATAATCTTGTAAACGTGATAGCGAAAGTTGTTGAAAAGTTACCAACCTTTCTTCACTAGTTGTTCTGCCAGTGTCACTCATTTACAGACTTGCTGCCCGCTGAGAGGAGTTACTGTTGTCTCGCTCTGGTATGTTTTCAGAGTCAAAGGCCAGACTGCAATATTTGAGGAGATGATAGAAGATGAAGAAGGTCTGGTGGATGATCGAGTACCTACTACCACCCGGGGTCTGTGGGCAATAAGTGAGACAGAACGATCCATGAAGGCAATACTGTCATTTGCAAGATCTCATCGATTGGATGCTGAATTCATAGATGAAGGAAGTGCTTCAATGGAACTCTTTGAAGCATGGAAGAAGGAATATAAGGTACATTGTTATAAAACATCCCATGTTAAAAACTTCTCCTATACATTAATTTTTAATGGCTACTTTTCCTTTTTCTGTCTTTATTTTTTTGAGATATGCTTTAGAGATTTTAGGTCTCAAAGTTTCTTTCCCTAAAATGTTATTATTTTAATAAAGGATAATACAATAATATTTAAATTCTATATATGAAGTTACTAAAAACAAATCCTTAAACTTAAATTTGCATGAAACCTTTTGTCTAGTTGTTAACGTGTTTCAGTCTATTCTCTTGATCTTACACTACTATTCTATGAAACTAGTTTAGAATTTGTTTCTTTTTTGTTTTGTTTCTGCTCTGAATAACAACCACACTTTAATAGCAACCTTGAAGATGTGGAAACAAATATTTCTCAGGCTACAGGCTAGAAACCATTCCAGTGAATAGAGCACAAATTAGCCTTTCATATTAAACTGTAATAATCCCATTGCATTATAGCTCTTGAGATTACAGTATTTATTAATTTTTGAATTCTTTATATTGATTTATCTTTATCCTATTTTGCAGGTGAGATAGGTAAGAGAAGGAAAAGTGTTTATTTACAGTGTCATATTTCCATGTATTAACTTTCTTTTAAAAATCTGAAGTTCTTGCTTTTTAAAGCTAGATAAAAATGTGTGTTCAGAGTGAAAGTAAATGTCTTATATACATTTAATAAACTATGTACATTTAATAAACTGGGAAATTACACTTTTGTAGAGTTGAAATTATCAGTTCATAGTAGATTTCGGGGGGTATTACTATTATAAATTCATAGCCCATTGACACAGTTAATTACAGTAAACTGTGAAAGAAAAAAGTATTATATATAGTGTCCATTGACTCTTACATTCTTCATTTGGGCCCAGTTTGACTACATCCTTTGAGTCCAGAAGAGAGCTTATTATGTGTTCTCCTTTATATTTGCGCATCTTCTTTCATAATTTTGTAGACTAAACTCACAGAAAAACAAATGAATGAGCTACTGCTATACATAATGATCTCAGAATATATTAGCATAGAAAGCATGGTAAAACATGTATACTGATATAATTTCAGAAATATACACATGACTGATTTATTAAGGCTACATACTGAAGTATTACACTTGAAAAGTGTGAAATGATAAATTATGAATAGGGGTTACTCCATTATCTGGCATTAAAGGAAGAATGTATCAAGAAAAACGGTGATATACTTAAGGCATCCCAAGGAATTTGTTTTATTCTCTAAAATTTTATAGTGGATACTCAGTTGTATATTTTAATATTCTCTTATATATATTATTGTGAATATTTGAAATGTATTATAATAAAATACTTTTTATTGTTTGGAATTTAGCTCAGTGGTGCCATACCTGCCTCATAAGCACAGGGTTCTAAGTTTGATCCTTGGTACAAATGAATAAATAAATAAAAATACTTTTTAAAATAAAACGGGGATTCTGTCAATCTGGTATTGATCTGTGGAGATCTTTGGTCTCACCAAGAAAGCTTTGAGTATTCTTTTCGTAAGAATCCGAAGCAATCCCTGAGACACGTGTCTTCCATCTTCCTTAAGTTGCTTCATGAGTATTGGATGACCCTGAGGAATCGTGTATCTGCTGTCGATGAACTCGCAATGGCTACAGAGCGACTAAGAGTGCGGCATCCTAAGGAGCCAAAGCCAAACCCACCCGTTCATCATATCATTGAACCACATGAGGTAAACAGCCAGTAAATCACAGGAAGGGCATGGCAAGGCAAATTGGTATCACAAAATATCCAAGACCCATAGAAAAGATAGAGTCAGGGCAGTGTTCTCTCTTAGATACAGTCTTAATTTCTACTAACAGTTCAAGCCATCTAAAATTGGCTTTATAGGTCAAAAACGGTCAAAGATGAACAAGTTCATATCTAATTCATGCTAAATATCCACTCTTGAAAGATTTTATTTCTTTGCAAGTTGTGCATTTCATCTGTTTTTTAGCACCTGTCAAATCCTTGAGATACTCTTTGTCTTTTTATCTCCGCTTTATTAGAACTAGAAAAATTTTCCTCAAAATTAAAAAAAAATTTTTTGCAGTGATTTTCTCTTGCTGTTTATACATGTTTGAAATTTAGCCTCTTGCTGCTTTTTGCATCATAGGACTACACCAATCTTTTCCACATTAAAATATTATTTCTTTTATAACTTGTTTTTATCCTGTGTATAATGCTTTAATTTTTTTTTCTGTAAAGCTGGGACAGTATAGCTTAGAAAACCTTTTAAATATTCATAGACTCTTCATTCACTTAAATATGAATTCTCAGTAAGTTTTTCTTTAAAAGCAGATTCCACATGTTATTCTTAAAACTGGGGCGGGGCGTAATTCTTGTTATTTGAATTCTTCTTTCTGCTATATTCTACTTGGGGGTAGGAGAAAGAAAGGCAAGAAGATGCTTCTCTGATAAAGTCACACTGATCAAAGCAGTGTGTCTTCTAATTTTTCTTCATCCCACAGATACATTACTGGGAAATGCTACATAAAATGGTACATAAATAGAATTTGAGGTGATTTTTGGCCAACTTTAGGTATATAGATATGCATCCTTTTCAGAGAACTCTAAACTAATTTTTATCATGTATAAAGCATAAAGAAATCTTTTTTAAATATATTATTAAATACCCACTTTTTAAATTTGAGTTTTAATATGTAAATGAATTTTTAGCCATCTTTCTGATTTGTAATAAAGACTGTTACTTATTTTTAGGTAGAACAAAATCGTATAAAACTACTAAATGATAAAGCCGTTGCCACATCACAGCTTCAGAAGAAACTTGGACAGCTTCTTTACCTAACTAATTTGGAAAAGGTAATTGTTTTTAAAAGGTGCTACTTTTCCAGTATTGTATTATCATAATGTTACCATATTAATGACGTCTTCCTTTTAAAATACTAGTCCTGTCACTATTAAATGAATGGGTTTTTTTTTAAGTTAATCTTTTATTTATTTGTATTAATTATGAGTCAAAAACTAGCTTTGTTTAAAATAGCTTCACAAATCACAAAAGATTATATGTATAGAAATTATAATTTACAAAGATGATGTTAAAAAGCATGCACTACATAGAAAACAGCATAAACAGACTATCTATAGTTCAAAATAAAGAAGTATTCCAGCATACATCTAGATGAAAATTGCATTATATAACATATACACATGTATTCATTTATACATAATAATTTTTCAGTTTTGTTTTTAGAATTTTTAAATGTCTCAAAGCTGATAAGGTACAGAAATAAAGAATAAAGTTCAATATTTTAATAGACTTCATATTTTTTCCGAGTTGTGATCAAAGTATTATATAAGGCATTGATGATTTTTGATAGTTTGTTGATAAATATTCCATTTTATGCAAGAATTCATACACTATTAGTTGATAGAATGCGGTATCAGAACTGATGACTATTGTTACAGTAGCATAACATCTTTGAAATGCTAAAAGAAAATCTGCCAATCTAGATTTCTGTACTTACAGGAAATAGCCTGAAAAAAAATATGTAAATTGAAATATTTTCAGATAAACTGAAAGAATTCATCCCCAGCAGACTCACACAACAACAAATTTTAAAGGAGGTTCTTTGGACTGAAGAAAAAATTATTCTAGATTGAAGTATAGAACTAAAGGAAGGAGTGAAGAACAAAGGAAAGCTTAAATTTGTAGGTAAACATAAAAGACTTAACTATTAAAAGAAATGGCCAAGAATTATATAAGGATATCAAACTTTGGGCACTTTGAATAAACGTGGCCTAGTTGACACAGATAGATAGCTACACACAACAACTGCAGAATGTACCTTTTTTTTTTCTATGCACATGGGACATTTACCAAAATCAAATTACAGTGATTCAAACATAACTTAAAATATCAAGGATTAGCATTATGCAAGGATACACTGCCTTACTAAAGAAATTCAATTAAAAATCAGTATTGAAAAGATGATTAAATAAGTCCCCAAATTGGGAATTAAGAATACAATTCTAAATAACCCATGGTTCAAAGAAGTTACAATGAAAATTTGAAAATATTCTGAACTGAATCAAAGTGAAAATATGTGATAATATGTTAGATGCTTGTAGGGAAATTTCTAACTATTTTAATTGAAATATAAAAGGGAAATTTACATCATTGAAGTCAGGGATCTGCAGACACCACACATAGGACCCATCTAGCTACCACTTGTTTTCATAAATAAAGATTTTTTGGAACATAGCCATGCTCATTTATTTTCCTGTTGTCTATGGCTGCATTTCACTCTATAAACACGGAATTGAGCAGTTGTAACATAGAACATATGGCCCACAAAGCCAAAAACATTTATAATCTGGTCCCTCACAGAAAAAAGTACCAATTCTTTCTTTAAATATATCAGAAAATAATAGATACTGTGGTATGACTGATTGTTTATAAACTGACGTAGTAATGTCCCTGTATGTATATATGTGCTCTTAAGCCATTCACACCCATACTGACTCTGGGCTTGGACAGGTGACTACTTTTGACCTTGTGACACCAGCAGAGACCTAGACAGTCCATGTACACCAGGGTTCTCCCAATCTTATTGCTCTCTGAGCTCAGACTATGTGAAGAAGACCAGATTAACTTTTTCAGGGAGCTGAGCACATGGTTCAGTCTCTCCAACATGCCACCTAACCCATCTCCTACCAGACATGAGACGATACCATCTTGAACCATCCAGCCCCAACCAAGACAGGCCATCTCCAAATTATCCAAGTGATCTGGAGGATTGCGAGAAATGCACAGTATTTGTTTTAAGCCACTCTGTTTTTAGGTGATTTATTATGTTACCTGAAACATCAATAGTTAACAGGCAAAATCAGTTATTCAATTTTTTTAAAAGCCTGTACTTCCATTTTAGTTAATGAAGTTTTTGAATCCTGAGAGGGGCTGAATCTATGCACAATTTTGAACTGTTTTCTTTTACATGAATTTTACTACTCATAAGTCAGAATAATTCTTTTAAATGTTTAACTCTGGTTAGTAAAACCACTGTAGTAATCTATCTAATTTACTTTCCTTTTATGTTTTCATCAGTTTACCTGTTTGATAACTTTTTGAAAGCTTTTTCAGTTTTTGTAATAATTTTAATGAGATTTTGAAAAGGCATCATGTTTTGATATAATTTCCAGGCACAGAAATCTCAAATCAATAATATTTCCATTTTCCAGCCATTTGCCTTTCCAGTTTTTGCCTAAGGAGATTAGACAATGGCTAAGAGGCAGCCAGTATTAGTAAGAGATGATGTTTTGTGACTGTGTTGTCTCTACCTGTTTCTCTGATTTGTATCAAGTAGGCATATGTGATAAGTGTGCATTTTCTTCCAATGTTTAAGAAGTCTTTATTTCAAAATTCTAAATCATATTTTTGAGTTATTATATTTCTTTATAACAAAATCTTTAACAAATTCTTTATAACAAAGATTATACTTTTAAGTAATCTGTTTCCTTATAATAAAATGTATATTTCTTTTTAACAAAACCGAAAAATTTTGAAAACTTAGCATGTTGTATATTGCTTTTATTTTTGCAGTGAACTACAATTACTGGTAACGTAACTTAAACTATAATAAAAATTGTTACAATTGTATATTTTGTACCTTTAATATTATGTGTTTAATCCAAGAATAATATTTGGTAATACATAAAGTATTGGATCATCTCAATAACTAAGATTATTTAAATTGCAACCGCCAACATTTCCTTTTTTTTTTTTTTTTTTTACCAGGGATCCAACTTGGGTCCTTGCCCTGAGCTAGATCCCTGGCCCCCCAACATTTCCCTTTGTGAATTACAAAATACGTATCAGATTGCAAATGTAAACATATAACTAACATGTTTTTGGATTCTTCTTTTTTACATAGTCTCAAGACAAAACATCAGAAGGTATTAATCCAGAACCTTGTCCAATCTGTGCTCGACAGCTAGGAAAACAGGTGAAATTATGATAAATATTACTTATTTATTTAGTCTTCAAAGCCTTCTACATACAGTCTCTCTCTCTCTTATTTCTTTCTTTCCCTTTCCCCTTTCTTCATCACAAATATAGAGGAATAACAGGTATTATCTCCCATGTTAAAGGTAGGGCCAGAGTTTAAGGCTACATATGTTTGAATAATTTTTATCATAATTGATAGGTTGAGAAAAAAACATTTTCTACTGGGCATGGTGGCACACGCCTGTAATCCTAGTTAGACTGAGGCAGAAGGATCAAGGCCAGCCTGAGCTACATAGTGAGACCCTATATATTAAAAAAAAAAAAAAAAAAAAAAAAAAAGAACCAAAAAATGTATATATGTATCTCACATTTCAATGTTAGGAAACATTGAATAACCCTATGTTTTTCATTTAAGATTCTTAGTTTTGAACATATTTCCAAGCATAAGATCCTCTGTAAGTAATTTAACTTTTGTCAGATTTTCATAGTTATCTCCTAATTGTACTGAAATACAATATAATACACATAGATTTATGTAAAGTGATACTACAGTACCATAATATAGCTCCTAGTTTTATTAATATCTTATAATCCAGGCTTTAAAACAAAAATAACATCTCTCCTAGGGAAATTTAGATGTAATTTTTAGAATACTATTTTAGTAAATAAGTGTGTTTCTTTGTTATTTTGGACTTACAGGTGTCTGAGTTTGCTTATAAGAGTTTCATATCTCCATCCAACCAGTTTATTCCTGCTTTATATGATAAATCAGTGTATTTGTATACAATATCAAAATATCATTGCATTTCAACACTTAAAAAATAAGTCTGATTATACGCAAGTAAAATATTTGTGGCTGCTTTTTTTCTGTAGAACTGAGAATGTAAAGTTAAATATGTAAGTTCCATATTCTGAGCATCAATAATTAAGAAATCTTTTAGTTTCCAAGATTTATGGGAAAGGTACATTCCCAGAGGCCTCTGGATTTGATTATAAGTTTTAAGAGGATAGATAGTACATTGGAAAATGAACAGCAGAATAGTAGTGTACAGATACTGAGGTACTGGTGACCAAAGTCAGGATAAAAACAGTGGGATGGAACACGAATGGATGGGGGTTGCATCTCTGGCAGAGCTTGTGCCTGCATTCAGGAGGCCTGAGATTGGATCCCTTGCACCACCAAGGAGTGAGGTGCTCATGCCACAGTGTCTTTTTTTATTTTTAGCTTTGATGAGATTTGTTGAGATTTGTGTACTTGGCTTGTCTCTGAAATTTAATTTCATTTTTGTCTTAAACATTAAACATTTATAGTGTGTAAAGTTGTATTATATACATTGTTTGATTCAATTCTGATATAACACATGACTGGATCCTAGTAAAACTGCAAACTCAGTTCATGCCCACAGTCTGTAGGAACTTTATACCTTTCTCCTTAGCTTCCAGTTCTCTGCCTCCTGTTCTGATTTAGGGTTATTAAAGTTAGGAAGTATCAGAGATAACTCGATGCTGCTCCTGGTGTTACCATTTGTTTCTCTGGACCATTTCACTGTACCATTCTCCTGATGCCCAGGTGTGGGGTGGCTCTGATGAATGTGGGTGGACCTGTTTTACTCTGTAGCTTGTCTGTTCTGAGTTCCCATAGTTAGAAAAATCCTCTCAAGGAAAGGAATTACCCTTATTCCTCAGTGAGTGGAAGTCCATAGTGTAGCAAATAGCGCTGTTTTGTGTGAGGCAAAAATGCAGTGGAGCACTTAATTTTGTTCCAAACTTAACTCCTGAGGGCTCTGGTGCAAGCCCTTGAGAACAGAGATGTAACTAGAGAGGAGTAAGAATATTAGCCAACCAAACCCAAAATAACCCCTATTCCTTTTGAGTAACTGTAAGTAAAACCAGCCTTATCTCCCACAAATTTTCTCTTCACTGGTATGAGTTCTTTTCCAAGGAGCTTATTAGAGCTACTACAGAGTACCTTGGGCAGGTCCAGCTATGCACTTTCTTTCTATACAAGTCTAAGTCCTGGAAAAAGCAAAGCTGGAAACAGAAATCTGCAGTCATAGCACCATTCAGTTTTCATTGTTACTGTTTTTACCAGGTGAATAAAGGTTAAGTAATTTTCATTGCCATTAACGTCATTGCCAGAGAGGCATATGCTTTATGGTATGCAACAGGATTTCGGAGATTATTGTTTTTCTTTTCTTTAAATAGTACAGAATATTGCTAAAAAATGTCTTTTTGAGTTTTTTAAATGTATCTAGAATCACTTTTTAAATAAATCAGGTACTAGTTCATCTCATTTTATATACAAACGCTTTAACATGTGAAAATATGAATCTATTTAGTGAACTGAATAAGATATATTTTCTCCAAATTAATGTTGTTCTCAGTTTTTCTATTATATCTGCTGTTAGAATGCTGAAAGAATAGTCTACATTTTTTCTAAATCTGAAATGAGAATATCAACTTCTTAGAAAATAATGACTGACTTACTACAGTGACAAGAACTAAACACTGAAAGCTTTTTAGAATTAAAATAATTTAAAAACCATTTATGTCTTCAAGTCTTACTATCGTGAAATGTTCAGCAAGCGAAATCATGAGTCACTTCTTTTGTTATATTTACAGACTGGAAAGCATCTATAGTGGCATCTCCCTGAGGCTTGTGCCCTGTGTTTTCTCTCTTAGTGGGCAGTACTGACCTGTGGGCACTGTTTCTGCAATGAGTGCATCGCTATCATTATCGAGCAGTACAGTGTGGGGTCTCACCGAAGCTCCATTAAATGTGCCATCTGCCGCCAGAACACATCTCACAAGGAAATCTCCTATGTCTTCACCTCAGAGCAAGCAAGCCAAGAGGAGGACATCCCCGTGAAGGTAAAGGGGCCAAGAGCATAGTTAGGGTCAGAGCGTAGTTAGGGCAGTGTAGTAGGAATCAGTATCCAACGAAGGAGAGCATTAACATCAGAGCAAAGTTGGCGCATTGGATACGTGGGAACCACTGTTGTCCATGAAAATCCCGCCTGAAAGCTTCAGAGTTACCACGTACTCCTTCATTGTGGGAGGTTCACAGCAGCATTTGTTCTAACAATAGTCAGTGCCCACTGTGGCAAAAAGGATTCCAGTTCCATGTCACTTAGACCATTGATGGCGAACCTTTTTAGATTTCAGTGATAAACACCGTTCACCCCACTGATTTATCCTATTTCTGATCACTGCAAATAGATAGCGTTCTGGCTTATTTAAAGAAAGCTTTCTCTTTGTTCTTTTATTCTACCTTGGTTATCAGATAAAAATGATATCCCCAACAAAATGAAGGGAAAAATAGATTGGTTACTCACAATAAAGACTTCCACAAGAAAGACGTCGTGTGCATTTAAATGCCATGTACTGGTACAAGCAAAATTTCATTTCATTTTCCTAATTTTTCCCATGCTCATTCAGGATTTTTGAATAATTACTAATTTGAGAAACATACAGGATTGATATTAGGACATTCTGCCTAAAGAGTACTTAAATATTTAATGAAAATTATTTATTAGACATTTTTGTTCCTTGTTTTTCTTACATATGCTTCTTAAAATTTTTCTAACCAAATTTGGACAAAGGGCAAATCAGTGTGTAAATGTGTGGCGGTCCAGCCATCGCAACACGAACGTACCTGAGTTGGGGAGTGAGGATTGAGAAAGGACAGCACACTCAATAGTGTGGAGAAAAGAGGTCTGGTTTATTTCACTGAAACAGCTCCTTTTAAAGGCACACCAACAGGAAGCACCAAGCAACTATTTGTATGCAAAGACTGGATTTTCTGACTTACAGAGAAGATCATATCTTTGGCTATCTCTGAGTTCCTCCCATCACAAGGTCAAAGAACAAACAAATTTAACAAGGTCCTTGAGCCGGGGCGTGGTGGTGCATGCCTGTAATCCCATAAAACCAGTCTGGATTACAGTGAGCTCCAGGTCAACACCTGTAATCCCATAAACCCAGCCTGGATTACACAGTGAGCTCCAGGTCAATCTCATCTGCATAGCTGAGACCCTTGTCTCAGAAAAGCCAAATAAACAAAAAGACAGAGTCATAGATTGTATCAATGCCTCAATGGTAGAAGAAGTTACTCTTCCAATGTCAAATGCCAGCGGGCCATGGCCGGCTCCCACAAAATGTAGCGGGCAATAAGGCTCAAGGGATGGCTTAGAGAAGGAAGAAGCTAACTCTTATGCCAGTAGAGTCTTCCGCATTAGTTCTTTCTAGGTTCCTTTTGAGCTCCTTATATTTTCTTATCACATATTTTTTAAGTAATGTGTTCTATGAGTAGAATTAATTACAAATTGAAATTTACTGCCGGGAGTTGGACAGTTTTTAGGTGCCCCATCCCAAGAAAACTATAGTTGTATTAAGGAATTTTTAAATGCTGGTTTTTTTTCCAACTTCTTGTTTAAGTATACGCAAAGTATCAGTCACAGTGCTCTCTACGATGTTGGGATAAACAGAATCCTGAAGATGGAAAAAACTTTCATTCATTCTCTCATTCTGCTCATAACTCATTTAACACATGCTGTGTGACAGGCAGTGTGCTGGGCCTGACAGATGCAGTGTCTCCTCATTAGTAACAGGGACATGGGCCTTGTGGATCTTACAGTGTGGTTGTACAGTATCTAAAGGTGGAGCAGGTGAACCAACCAGGAGGAGGAAGGGAGTGATCTTGTGGACAGAAAGTTCCCAGACAGAACACACACAAACACACACACACACACACACGCACGCACACACACACACACAATACGAAAAGATCTGAGACAGGAGTGACTGAAATGGAACTGAGTGGCTGAAATGCAGGGAACAAGTTTGGAATTTAGTGAGTCTATAGGCCTAAGAGAGTCTAAGGTATTAAAAGGCTACCTGAAAGTTTGAGAACTTTATTTCCACTATAATCAGAAAGCCTTTAAACTGTTATAAGTAAGAAGGTGTCATGCATGGATTCAGATGTTTAAGATTCTTCTTGCTGCAGTGCGGAAAATAGATTAATGAAGGATAGAAAAGAATAGAGTAGAAAAAGTTTGGAGAAATAAGTTTAGAAAGCCAAAGAAGTCATATTGGTGTCTTTGCTAAGTTGATAGCAGTGGAGATGGAAAGAAGTGAACGTATACAAGAGGAAAATAGATGTTGGAGGTGGAGGTGAAGGTGAAGGTGGAGACTTCATAGACGATCCCTTAGTTTCTGATGTGAAAGTCAAGTGGATAATGTTGTAGTTACTGATAAGATTTAGAAAAGGAGTACATTTAGAACATATTATATTTGAAGTTTTTAATGTAGAGTTGAAGATAAAAAATTCAGATTCTGTGGCATAAATGATCTTTGAAGCCATGGAATTGAATGAGTAACCTAAGGAAAGAAATAGCAGTTAGCTTCAGGTAATTCCCATAACTTTCTAAAGATTGAATAAAGGGGGAAAGGTTAGAAAAGAACCTATGAAGGAACCAAAGACATAGGCAATCCAGGACAGTGGCCACAGGAGCATTGCGTCAGTTTGGAGACAGTTCCCAGCTGAAGATGGATCAGCTGCACATGACAGGGACTTAATGGCTAGGAGAAATAATTAGTGACTTCACAAGGAGCTCTCAGTGGAATGAATGGAGAGGAGACAAGCACCTCGGAAGAGGTTGGGGAGTGAACTGGAAATGAGTAAGTGGAGAAAATACCCAACTATTTCATAAACGAGGCTGTGAAATAGAAAACCAAGAGTTGCATGAAATACAGAAAGACAATTTTTTGTTACTTTTTTTAGAGATAAAAGATTCTTAAGCACAGTCTTCATTTAAAAAACAGAAATAAGATAGCCTGAAGATGTAGGTGGGAAGAAATAGTCTGCAGTGTTGACTTTTTTGAAAAGGTAGGGAGAGTGTTGATATATGGAGAGGAAGTTAGAGGTCTCATGGAAGTCAAAATAGCAGCTGTAAGTTGAGCTGTTGAGCAATCAAGCTATTGGGAAAGGTGTCCTTACCTGAAAATAGGAGGACTTAATCAGTGATTTCAGGGAGGACGGCATTAATGCTGTGTAGATCGTAGAGGGTGACCCCAGTGAGGGAAAGGGGACAAGGTGCTAGAAGATGAAGTGGTGAGGTGCGCACGTTGGGTGGGTTGTCCCAGTGTACAGTGCTAAATTGAGATGTAGAGGTAAAGGTTGTAAATCAGGCACCAAGTTCTTTAGTGAATGAAAGTTAGTATTCAGCAAACGATAGCAAAGATTAGAGTTAAAGGATAACTACGCTTTAGGAGGCTGAAGAGAATGGGAAATTTTTACAAAAATGAAAAGTATTGACCTGAAATCTGCCTCAGGAACCAAAGGAAATAATACCAGTAGTACCTAAGGCAAGGATATGAGAGAATAAACATCTTCCATTCACCAGGGCTGCTCAGAGGATAGCCAGGTTCTAATTAAAGCAAGAAAGTAAAGAGCAGTATTTCCACTAAGTTAAAAAAAAATGATAAGTACACGTTTTTTATCTTAAAGCATAAGTTCTGTGGGACACCAGCAAAAGATTCAGGAGTAAAAGGAGAAAAGCAGGAGGGAGCCACAGAGCAGTGCAGAATAACAGAATAAGCAAGGACAAGTGAGGAGAGGATGACCTAAGGATCACTCAGTCCGTGAATCCCCTGCATAAATGTGTGTGTTTAAAGCAGATGCCCGAGAGCTGCAGAGTGAAGAGGCCAGCAGCCGCACGTGTTGTCTTAGCAGCCCTGAGGCTTTTGGTCCTGCTCACCACACAGAACCACTCTCCTCCCCACCCCTCCACTTTCCTCCCACTCCCTTCTTCCCCCTTCCCTTCCCCTTTCCTTCCTCTAAAAATAGGCTTTCTGAGTTCTTTTTTTCCTTTCTCAGTCTCTGGCCACAGGAATTCCTTGGGCGACAGGTGACATTTGTGGCTACGTAGAAGAAGCTCCCCCTTAGATGGTGAAATCTCAAGTACAAGCGGCCAGCCTGCGACAGAACTGCTGTGTCAGCCAAGACGGCAAGGCCGAGGAAGTGATTGCTGTAGCTACCAGTAAACAGTGTGGCCTCTGAGGCTGAGTCCCTGAGCAGCCAGGCCTGAGCACCTGTTCTCTTGTAGCAGCTTCCCTAGACACCCAGGAGAGCGCTCAGAGCAGCTACATCTGCCGTCCTGTTGGGACAGGCCTACTCTGAATTGTGCTCTCGCTTCCTGCTGCCTTGCATGGGTCCTGAGGAACACATGAATTAGTTGAAACGTCTTATTTAAAAGCTAGAAGATTACAGAATTTGCCAGAGAGAATAATTACCCTCTTGGCTAAGATGGTGATATCCTTACATTTCTCTTTATGGAACACATGACTGAATGTTGTACCTATCATGTAAGAAGTTATTTCCCTCCGCCACTTTCTCACATTGCTTTTTGCACATTTGTGTTTGATTCTTCCTCTCCTGCCACCTTGTGTCTGCCACTTCTGCCTTCTGAGCCCTGTCACCTCTTCTGCCTTGTGCACATCTCTGCCCTCGTCTGTCACTCTCTCCTTGAAGCATCTGCTTACTGTATTTTCACTTTTCACCTTAGTCTTCTACTCTCTGAAACTTCATCATTAAATGGTCATATTATATATCTTGAATTAGAGGAAAGAGATCATACGTAAAATAAAGAGGAGTCCATATAAATAATTAAGGTATTATTTTCAGATTTTAGAACTATTGGTTCCTCATCCTAGGGGTATTTTTCTTCTACACTATTGCTATTATTGAATCCTTTATATTTAGTAAGCAGTATTGAGAATTTTTTATTTCAATGAAGCATTCATGTCAAGACTCTTGGACATAGCGAGCAACTTAGAGATTTTCTTAGTGTTTAATCATGTGGCTGGTATCG